CGCGGGTTCGAGCCCCGCGTCGGGCTCTGTGCTGACTGCCAGCTCAGAGCCTGGAGCCTGTTTCAGAGTCTGTCACTCCCTCTCTCTCTGACCCTCCCTGCTCACGCTGTCTCTCTCTCTCTCTCTCTCCTAGAAATAAGTAAAAAACATTAAAAAAAAAAAACCCTGAATACTCTGGAAATGGAGTGACACTAGTATGACATGATTCAGGAACCTTCTGTGTTTAAGCATCAGAAGCAAGCAAAGAAGCTTAAGCTGTGATTCATAGCACCGAAATGTGTGAATTGCTTTCGAAAGAGTGATTTCATTTTCTCAGATATTTCTTCACTTCTTCAGAATTTCTGATCCCATGAAGTTCAGCTCAGGTCACAGTGGAAAAGAAGTCCAGCTTTTCTTTCAGGTCTAATTGATTGATTGTCTCAGGATGCTCGTGAATTCTCAGAAGTCTGAGATCTGAGTTTGGTAAAATACCTTTAACAACTTTGTGCTGCTCAGTTGTCTAACTGGTTAAAATCTAACTTTCACAGTCAACTTCTGCTCCTTCCAAGTAATGCATAAATTGTCAAAGGTCAAAGGCATTAGAACAAAGAAATCCTACCTTGTCTACTTCGCCATGGGTCTGTTGAGCAAGCAATGGGTGATTGAGAAAGAGGTTGATATCCATAGGACTGGTCATATTACCACCTGATTATTGAGAGCCTGTCTACAGTGGGCTTTTATGTAGGACACAGATATTTTCATATTCTGTGCTATGTTGAAAAGTTCATCCAGAGACATCCGCAAACCCCTCCCCCTTTTTAAACTTTAAAAATTTTTATTAAAGGGGGGGCCCAGGTGGTTTAGTCAGTTAAGCTTCATTTCGGCTCAGGTCACGACCTCATAGTTCGTGAGGTCGAGCCCCGCGTCAGGCTTTGTGCTGAGAGTGCAGAGCCTGCTTGGGATTCTCTCTCTGCTTTTTTCTCTGCCTCTCTGTCTCTCTCTCAAAATAAACATTTTTAAAATTTTTTATTAAAAAAGGATGAAAAGTACATTTGGGAACATACTCTCCCCTCTAAAAAATTTTTTTTAATGTGTTTATTCATGAGAGGTAGAGACAGAACAGGATCAACAGAGGAACAGTGAGAGAGAGATTCACAGAATCTGAAGCAGCTCCAGGTTCCGCGCTGTCAGCAGAGTCTGATGCGGGGCTCAAACCCATGGACTGTGAGATCATGACCTGAGCCAAAGTCAGACACCTAACCAACTGACCCATCCAGGCGCCCCTATACTCTCCCCTTTAAAAAGAAATTTTGAGTCTTACTCTTTCCAACTCTTTCACCAGCAAGCCATCCAATAGCCACAGGCCACAAGTCAGCATAAATGTGTACCTTTGCATACATTTCTCCTGACCTCACGTGCACTGCCAAGAATTCTGCCCAGTGGGAATATTTCCCTTCACTCTTCTTTTAGGACCAGAGGGCAGGGCTACATTGTCTCTTTTCTGACTGGGGCTCGCACACCGTGCATTTCCATTCATAAATGGGTATGTCTTTTCCCTCCTCTGCTAACTGGTTGTCGGATGCTCTCCATGAGCATGAGTTGAGAGAGCTGACAAGGAAGATGCCGGAAGTACCAGGGGAGTTTGAGCCAGCTGTTCCTATAGTTTACTCGTGCTTTCCAGCCCTGCGCAGATCCAGTCGCGCTTTTGTACGGTCCAGTTTTGTGATACGGTGGGACAGAGAATACTGTTCATGATGGTTTCCCATGAGCAGGTATACAGTCTTTTCCTGAACCTAGTAGCAGGCCAGGGACCAAATGGACACAAGTTCCTGAGAGTACCGTAAGAGTCTGTAACTCTTACTCCTCTCTTGATGCTTGTTCGAGGCTCCTCACCCCGCCCCTGTCTGCCATGTCGTTTGTAGTACTAGTGGGTGTGCTAAGGCATAGCCCCAAGGGGTAGGGCAGCTTTTGTTGCTGAAGAGCCTTCTTTGGGATCAAGCCCCAGTAAAAACTGGCAGTCTCACAGGTTACCCAGTATAAAGGTCAGAGTAGCATTTCCAAATAATGAAATTCACTAGTTTTTACCTCTTTCTTACCGCGTATGGTGCCAGGTGTAGCAGTGTCTGACCTTAGACCCCTGGAACCTAGAAGCCATCCATGTGACAGACTCCTGAACTTCCATGGGGTTTATCCTCCATCCTCTGGCGTGTACCTGTGTCTTACAGAGGCATCCTGAGTGCTGCTTTCTGTTCACCACAACCAGTGAACAGTGCCATCAGTGTGCTGGACCAGTGTGGTGACCTGTGGGGTGCCGAGATGGTCAGGGCCCTTCCAGACCAGATTGTGGCTTGTGAATGGCCGCAAGTCCCTCTTAGGGAAGGTCTGGTGAAAGACTTATGGGACACACTTGTGGCATCTGTAGGATCACAGTCGTCGTCTATATTTAGTCCTTCTTGGTCGAATATGCTCTGAATGTACTCTCATATGTGCTCCTCAGACTTGTGCTGATAAAAACGTTTGAGATTCTGCAAATTTTTCAGTATAAAAGCAGACTCTTCCCAGAGTAGGCTTTGAATTTCTTTCTGTGCTGTTTTGGGGTCTGACTCGTGTTAGCGTGCAGCAGGAGCTAATAGGAATGCGTGGTGAGGAGAATTGGCATCCCCCTGAGTGCTACGCTCACTGCTTAATTGCCTACTATATACATGCACACTTCTGTGTCTCCTCGATACCTTGTATGAAACAACTTATCCTGCTTCCCAGCTCTTTCCCCCTTATCTATGCCACTTAATGTCATATATTTTTTAAATGTTTATTCATTTTTGATTGGGGGGTAAGAGGGAGACACAGAATCCAAAGCAGGCTCCAGGCTCTGAGCTGTCAGCACAGCCTGACACCAGGCTCGAACTCATAGACCGCCAGATCATGACCTGAGCCAAAGTTGGACACTCAACTGACTGAGTCACCCAGGCGCCCCAACTTAATGTCATATCTTAGGTCCTTTCCAAAGGCAAGACCTAAGGCACAGTGTTCTCCTGTAGCTCTCCTGTAGACCGTGCGCAGTAAGGCGCAAACAAGCACTCAGGCTCAGACAGTAGCAGCAGGGCCCACACACTCTGCATCCCACCTTCTCAGAGGACAAGTGTGGAAAGTGTAGCACTGTGATTTTCACCTTCGTCACTTCTGCAGCTGGAGAATGGGCTGATGTGGGTTTGGACAGGTTGGTGTGCCGTAGAAGAGCTGAGGCCCCAGCTGCTCTGATTCTGTAGCAGCAGAGTGCCGGACCCACGGGGCAGGGCGACAGTCCGCTGGAGGAGCCGGGGGGGCCGGCTGCACTGGTGTTTTCTGACAACTAATTCAACTGCATATAAATGTTCTTGACTGCACTTCCAGCATCAAATCTAGCAAAGCAGGTTTTCAGTTACCTCAAAGGAAGCACCCTTGTAATCAGTTAAAATTCACCCTACCTGAATATTCAGTGCCTAAGATAGATATTTGAAATCATTATTGAATATAATTTACTTACAATTATTAGGTCTGTCCGTGACTTCCTAAAATTAATCACCAAGGGAAACTGCCAAACTAATTCTTTAAAGAGTATTATTTGGTGTCAGTGGAGAGTATGAGCTGCCACATGTAGCAAATTACATCAGTTTGACATCTCGAGCCCTTTGTCTTTGGGTGGAATAATAATAGTAACATAATTGTGTTCTGTATGAAAATCTATAACATCTCTGGCCAGAGGTCCAGCACATAAGAATTATCCACAGTTATTAAAATGCAACACAACACAACACAGTGGTTAAGAGTCAAGACTCTGGAGCCACGTAGCCGGAGTTCAAATCCTGGATGGGCTATTTATATAACATCCCCATGTCTAAATCGTCTCACTTGTAAAACAGGAGCAAATAGTTACCTACTATATAACTATTACATATATACATGTGTACACGTATATACGTATATATACACATAGATACATATATATGTAACAGTTACATACTATATACATATGTACTATGTATACATAGTAGGTGTATAGTTACCTAATCTGAAGCAAGCTACACCTGTTCATTCTTGATGCAAAAAGTCTGAAAGACACACTTAGAGGGTGCCTGGCTGACTCAGTTAGAAGAGCATGTGACTCTAGATCTTGGGGTCTTGAGTTTGATCCCCACATTGAGTGTAGTGATCACTTAAATAAACTTAAAAAAAATAAAACAAGAAACACTTTTTAAAAATGCTGCTCTAGGGGCACCTCGGTGGCTCAGTCGGTTAAGGGTCCGACTTTGGCTCAGGTCATGATCTCTTTTCTTTCTTTTTTTTTTTTTCTAAATTTTTTTTTTTTAATTTATTTCTAGGAGAGAGAGAGAGAGAGAGAGAGACAGAGCGTGAGCAGGGGAGGCTCAGAGAGAGAGGGAGTCACAGACTGAAACAGGCTCCAGGCTCTGAGCTGGCAGTCAGCACAGAGCCCGACGCGGGGCCCAAACCCACGACCGCGAGATCATGACCTAAGTGAAAGTCGGACGCTTAACCGACTAAGCCACCCAGGCACCCCGGCTCAGGTCATGATCTCACAGCTAGTGAGTTCAAGCCCCGTGTCACACTCTGTGCTGACAGCTCAAATCAGATTCTGTGTCTCCCTGTCTCTCTGCCCCTCCGCTGCTTGTGCTCTGTCTTTCTCTCTCAAAAATAAATAAACAGAAAAAAAATTAAAAACCTGCTCTAAATCTATCAAAGTAGAGCCCTTTTAGGTGAAAGTTGTTCTCAGCCCCCATGAACTGTGGTGTATAAGCTCTGAGAATTTAGTATGGAAGACAGATGGGATGCACAGGTTTGATTTTCGTTGAGCTCTTGATAGGCCTGAGATCCTAAATCTCTAACCTGCTCTGAAACTTACGATCAAATGTAAATTCCTGCCAGAAAAAGCATACAGTGGGTCCTATAAATAAGGAATGATGGTATTTTTAAATTTTTTGCTAATCTGTGTTTTTTTTTTTCTTTCTTTTTTTCTGTTGGCTCAGGTTGCATGATGGAATTTGAATATTACCTCAAGAGGTTTTATGTTTTGGATTAGCTAACTGTGTTTGTCCTCTGCTGACTGTCTCTTCGGGCTCATTTTCTGGTGTCCATTTGAGGCAATAAACCCAAAGGGATCATACCATGGACCACAAGGAGAGCTGCCCCAGCGTCAGCATCCCCAGCTCGGACGAGCACAGGGAGAAGAAGAAGAGGTTCACTGTAAGTGTGAGTGTTACCACACGGGGCGTGCTGAACACCGAGAAGCTTCCATTTCTGCTTTTGTTCTTCCTTGACCCAGAACGTCCTCCCCATGCTTCCCCGTATCCAGATTTTACTTCCCTTTCACGTGATGTGCCCTCCAGTCTTCCCTGTGTGCTGTAAGGGAACACAGTTACCTTTTCAGATTTTTGCCTGTTTACCTGCCCTTTGGAAAAGCTTATGAAACTCTGATAGATCCTTTCACCAGAAAGTGTGCAGACACAATGATCTGCAAACAAGCGTGTGATTTTGCATGTAGTCAGGAGGTTAGTGGACTCCGGAAGTCACTGATCTTATGTTAAGAACCACTGTGTCAAACAAAACAAAACAAAAAAACCCACGGTCTTGAAATTTCCATAGTATCTTTCTTAACATTTATATTTTCTACCTCAATTTTTAAAAATTTTAATCCAGTATTTTACTTCTCTCTCTCTCTCTTTTTTTTTTTTTTTTTTTTACCTTAAAAGCAAAGTCCATTGCTAATTTTACTTCCGACCACTGTAGTACGTGCTGTGGAACTATAAAGAATACGCACAAGGAGTGTGTGCTGAGTCGTTGCGTCAGGGACTATTGCTGGAGAATAGCCACTTTTCTCATTAGTGTAATGAATGACACGTACAGAACTTAGTTCCAGTAGTCCTGTTAGTGTGTGTCCAGAGATGTCGTGCCCCCCCGCCCGCCCTGAAGTAACACCATTTATCTTGTTCGTAACTGACTCCTTGTAAGCCCTGCCTGCTGAGTAGTATGAAAAAACTCATTTAACCTAGTTCTCTTTAACACTTCGTTTGAGCTAAAATTTAAGCAGTTTTTTTTTTAAGTTAAAATGCTCAGGCTGTCTTCATTCTGCTCTTTCCCCCATATGAACACACGCTTCTCCAACTTGACGTCATGGTTTGTTGGTTTCACAGTACTTGTTAAGTCAGTGACGGACCTCACGGCGGCCAGCTGAAGGCTCTTATGTTCTCGTCATCCCTCTGGACTTTGCTGCTCCAGGTTTAGAGTGACTGATCTGGCGAACAGTTGACCTGATCGTTTTCTCGGCATCCATTGCTGGCATCTCAGTCAGTCACCTTACGTGTGATCTGTTCTTTGTTGGCTTGGCCGGAGTGGCGGAGATTGACTGCCGGTTCGGCGCCTCCTCGCCTCCCGATGGCTGTGGCGCCCCCGCGGCTCTGCTGTGCCTTCCACTGCTCCTGACTCGCCTGCCGGGTGGGTCCTTGGCAAATGACTTGCAACTCAGAGTTCATGTCACATGGGAAAATGGAGTTAAACTAAAGCCTTGGTCTGTCCAATCCAGTGTCCCTTCTTCACTGGGTGGGGCTGGAGTCCCCAGATGATACTTTTCTTCCAAAGTCCCAGCCAGGGAGCTGGAAACAGCCTCTGTCCTCCCTGTTTCACAAGCATACTCGCGCACCCTGCACCTAGGCCCAGAGCAGGGGCAGCATGTGTGGCTGGCCGTTTGCCTCTGCTCAGTCTCTCTGTTGCAGCAATATCTTTTTTTTTTTTTTAATTTTTTTTTTTTTAATGTTTTATTTATTTCTAGGAGAGAGAGAGAGAGACAGCGTGAGCAGGGGAGGGTCAGAGAGAGAGGGAGTCACAGACTGAAACAGGCTCCAGGCTCTGAGCTGGCAGTCAGCACAGAGCCCGACGCGGGGCTCGAACCCACGAACCGCGAGATCATGACCTAAGCGAAAGTCGGACGCTTAACCGACTAAGCCACCCAGGCGCCCCTGTTGCAGCAATATCTTAAGCGTTGTGCATTTATTCCACAGTCTTATAAGCAAGTTTTAGAAACATCACATTGATGGTAAACAAGGAGTCAGTATACCTTTGGTAAAATAGCGGAGCACGTGAAAGTTTGTTTTTCCTTCTCTCTCCTTATTTTCACCTATGAGCATTCTCTCCTTCAAGGGCATAACCTCCTGCCAAGTTCGATGGGAGTTTGTATACAGCAAATACAGGCAGTGGGTTATCTCAGGTATCCATTAACTTTTCATGGTAGAGGTATTTCCAGAGCACCTGGGTGGCTCAGTCAGTTGAACATCTGACTCTTGATTTTGGCTCAGGTCCTGATCAGGGTCTTGGGATCAAGCCCCGTGTTGGTCTCCGTGCTGACCGTGGGAGCCTGCTTGAGGTTCCTTCTCTCTCTCTCTGTCTCTCTGTCTCTCTCTCTCTCTCTCTCTTTCTCTCTTTCTCTCTGCCTACCTCTGGCCCCTGCATAAGCACTCACTCATTTCTAAAATAAAACAATAAATAAAAACCGAAAAATATATTTTTAGTACAGCTGCTTCAGCCTAGAACCTATGTGTGGGTTCTAGTCTTAGTCGTATTTGGGTAACCATGGGAAACCACCTTACCACACTAGGAAGTCAGCATAAATAATTCAAGAAGCTTGCAATCATCTGAACCTAAGTTTCTCATCCTTTGGTAGCAGTTCTGCTTGCTGTCCTCTCTGACCTTGAATGCTCTATAAGATAAATCGTTAGTTCAGTCTTGGAAATCTGGTGCAGCTTCACTGGCACCGTGACCAGTTCTTTATCCGCTACTTCCGCATTCTCTCCTTGTGAGCAGTTAACATCTCACAAACAAACAAATCTTACATCCAGTAGCTTCCTCTAAGAGAAAGTGATGCCTTTTGGTTAAGACCAGAAGAGCCATGTTAGCAGCCATCATCACATGTGGCTCGTGTAGGGTACCTGAATCCTCTTTTTCTCTTAGTCTAAGTAATACATCACTTACTCAGGTGACTGACACCAAAGACTTTGTTTCACATTCCAGGTGAGGCCTTATCCTCTTCTATGGAGGAATGTGGCTTTACATTCTGGGACCCCTCTCCCTGTGGCTCGTTAATGTGACCATATCTTACACAGTGCTACGGAGTTCATATGTTGTAATAACACAGTATCAGAGAGCTGCTTTCCTCACAGTATTTTCTCTAACTATGAACTTACGAATGTAGCTTCCAGTCTTTTATGGGAAAGGATGGTTTATACATATTTGTTTGCCCATATTCTAAAATAAACCTGGTTTACTCTAAGTTGTCTAATAGACTGGGGACAACTATTGTAAACCCAAAGCAACTCCCATCTCTATAATTCATACCCCAAGTCATACATCAGTGAGCCTTTCCTCAAATGCCTGGATTCTTATTTTTCTCCTTAGAATAACATAAGATCTTTGGGGACCCAAATCATTTTCTCTGTGTTACTGTGTTGACTTATACTCTGAGAGTATCTGTGGGATGAATTGTAAGCATCAATTCTGTGTTATAATTGTTGATGATTTGATACTGGTTCTGGTACATGAAGGGTTAGAAGATTTAAATTTTAGTCTCATAAGTCTATGAATTTGGGCAAGTTATTTGACTTTTTTGGGCCATCATTTCCTTATACATGTACTAGGGATTATCATATTTTTCTGCTTACTTCATAGGGCTGTTGACTATGGTTATATGAAATTATGTAGATGTGAAATTATTAAACATATGTAGGATGGTAGTAAGAAATTTGAAGATAGGTTTCTAGTCTGAAAAATAACTGTGTACAAGATGACCTGGAAGGAGAAGAACAAATAATTGAGTCTTTATGTGTCAAGCATCACTTTTGAAAATACTTCATAATTTCAGGATAATGATTACTGCTAGAAAAGAGAGGAAAGCGACATCAATTGAATCTATTATATTAGAAAAATTGGGAAAAATCTGAAACAAGAATGGCAAAGTGTTAGAATTCAGAAGTTCTAAATGAGTTCACAGATGCTCACTGTGTTATTGTTGGAAAACTATGGAAATGTTTCATAACATTTAAAAAATAAACTATCAGGAAGATGAAGTAGGTCTTTCTGCTGGTGCGCTTGTGTATTTTGGAGAATTGTGTATAAACATGAATGTCTGATATCAGTTTCATGAGTATGAAAACAAGTTATTTGCCTATTAAATAGCTAATGGGGTTTTTTTTGCAATTGAGTTTTGTTCTGCTATTTTTTATTTCCACAGGTTTATAAAGTTCTGGTCTCAGTGGGCAGGAGTGAGTGGTTTGTCTTCAGGAGATATGCAGAGTTTGATAAACTTTACAATACTGTAAGTAAATGTCAGTCTTAAGGATTTTTATTTAAAACTAGACATCTGAGGGGTGCTGTGGCCGGCTCATTCAGAAGAACGTGTGACTCTTGATCTCAGGATCATGGGTTCAAGCCCCATCTTGGGTGCAGAGATTACTTAAATAAAGCTTAAAGAAATTAAGAAAATAAAACAAAACACCTGAAAAAACTTGCAAATAAGAGAGATTTATTTGAGTGATTAAATAGTACTCATATAGACAAGCCAAAAAGGGTAAGAGATTCTTCAGAAGCATCCAAACTTTGGAATTGCTACAAAGAAGGCTAGAGAGAGGACTGTTGAGAAATCCAGATAAACTGTTGAAGGTACGGTAACTAGATGTCCAGCTTAAAATGCATCCTAGTGTCAGAATATTAGAAATAGATTCTGGGCATGTGGGTCACCTGGTTGGTTAAGTGCCTGACTCTTGATTTCAGCTCAGGTCATGCTCTCATGGTTTGTGAGATCGAGCCCTGCATCAGGCTTTGTGCTGACATGAAGAAACCTGCTTGGGATTCTGTCTCTCATTTGCTCTCTTGCTCTCTCAAAATAAATAAACTTTTAAAAAAAGAAAGAAAGAAATTACTTTACTGCCTCTCTGATAGCTGTTGATTGTCGTGTTGTTTCTGGTTAAATTGCTGTTACGAAAGTTCGTCAGAAGCCTCCCTTCCTCCCAGAGTTTCGTTCTTGGTTTGGAGATAAGTCTTCAGTTCCAGATTGTAAGTAGCTAAGTTGTATATGGACTTCCCTAAGTTCTGACAGCTACTGGAGGGTAGGGGGTGTGACATCATTAGTTATTTAAGAAACTAAAACCTGTATATTCAACGGGCTCCCGGGTGGCTCAGTTGGTGAAGCGTCCGACTTCGGCTCGGGTCATGATCTCTCAGTTCATGAGTTCAAGCCCCTTGTCGGGCTCTGTGCTGACGGCTCAGAGTCTGGAGCCTGATTCAGGTTCTGTGTCTCCCTCTCTCTGTCTGCCTCTCCCCTGTTCACCTCTGTCTCTTTCTCTTTCAAAAATAAACATTTAAAAAAAATTTTAAAAACCTGTGTATTCAAAATTCAGATATTAAATATTATTTTTAACCCAGTGTTTTTGTAATTACAAATATCTCTAAAGTAGGAAGCAAGAGCACCATGGTCATTATAGCATATCAGGCCAGATCTGTGCAGGGACCAGTGTCTGTGGAGACTGGCCTCTCGTCATGCGTACCTGAGAGGCTGAAGAACACCACCTGAGTTGGTCGTTACAGACTCCAGATTATTAAGATAGCTCTGGATTCCAGTTTTTTCTTGCCTAATAATAGGAGTTTCCTTCTGTCATTATTTAATAAATGGTAGATTACCAGGCATCCTTCAGAAAGAATTGTTTCATATTTAAGGTAATTTTTTCCCCAATTTTCTTAACCCTGTCTCTTGATTTTAAAAATAGGATTAAATAGATACAGAAGTCTGTGACTTAACATTTGTAAGATACTTTATTATTTTTTTCAAGTTTGTTTATGTTGAGAGAGAGAGAGAGACAGGGAGAGAACGAGTGGAGGAGGGCCAGAGAGAAAGGAGGACAGAGGATCAGAAGCGGGGTCTGTGCTGACAGCAGAGAGCCTGATGTGGGGCTTGAACTCCTGCACTGTGAGGTCATGACCTGACATAAGTCCACTGAGCCACCCCAGCACCCCCCGCAAAATACTTATGGGGGAAGTTAAGTGTATCTCAGTTAAGAGATAAATTACTACCTAAATGACCAGAATGAATCAACTGTTGTCTAACTGTACAACATCCCATGTTTTGTTAAGTCATGAAAGTCTCTGTTTAGCATTTCACTGTGTCTGTATTTCTTTCAAATAATATTCAAATGCTTTGCTAGTTAAAATTGAATTCTTTTTCAATGTAAAATTAATACATATTCTAGAAAACCTGGAGTATGCAGGAAAATAAGTATTTAAACTTAAAAATCACCTAAGGGGTACCTGGGTGGCTCAGTCAGTGAAGGGTCTCACTTTGGCTATGGTCACGATCTCTTGGTTCACGAGTTTGAGCCTCGCTTTAGACTCTGCTGGCAGCTCAGAGCCTGGACCATGCTTTGGATTCTGTGTCTCCCACTTTCTGCCCCTCCTCCACTCACATTCTGTCTCTCTTTCTCCCTCTCAAAAAATAAATAAGCATTAAAAAATTTTTTTAATCACCTAAAATATGTTGCTACTCAGAGATAACTGTCGTATTTTTACTATGTATTTTTGTTCTTTTTAATTTTTTTTTTTATAATTTATTTATTTTTGAGACAGAGAGAGACAGAGCATGAGCAGGGGAGGGTCAGAGAGAGAGGGAGACACAGAATCTGAAACAGGCTCCAGGCTCTGAGCTGTCAGCACAGAGCCCGATGCGGGGCTCGAACCCACGAACTGCAAGATCATGACCTGAGCCAAAGTCAGACACTTAAGCAACTGAGCCACCCAGGCACCCCTGTATTTTTGTTCTTTAAGTTTTCTATAATACTTATGTAACTAAACTTTATATACATGTATTTTAAAGTGCTTGGTCAAAGGATATTGAGACAGCATTTTTTACCTTTGAGACAAAATAATACCCAAAAAGAGTTTCTACATGAAGATCTCTTCTGTAATGTTGAGTGATTAAACAAACAAAAAAAAAAGTTTATGTTGGAGGCTGGAGAGGAGTTGAATTGCCAGCTCTCGTTGAAATTCTTGGATACCTTTATATACATGATCAGCATTTTTTGAGGATTGTACACATTTGACCATAGCTATTATGGTGGTAACATAACACACACACAGATAGTTTATATAAACTTCTTAGAGAAATAAGATCAAATTTTGTTCAGTGAACTACTAATACCTGAAAATCTGAGACTTCTTTCTGTGTTTTGATAAAATTATATGGGCCAGAATTGCCTTCTAAGTGTGTTCCCTTCTGTAGAACTGCTTATAAGAAGGAGGAATGTCAGAGACGTCGGCTGACAACCCAGCAGCCTGGAGATGTGCGTGAGGGAAAAGCCGTCCTCAAGCCGTGATGGTTTCATGACTCAAGTAGCTACAGATTAATTAAGTAGAGTGGTAATATCTGTGTATCTTTACGTATAAAGGTAAAGTAGGACAGTTTGGGGGCACGCTCCCCCACCACAATCACTTTCATTCTCTTTTCCCACCATACACCCCATCTTAAGCTTTTGTGCAGAAAATTTTCCTTAATATATAGTTGTTTTTATCCTTCTCCCTCATTTTTCTTGTATTTCTCTTCCTTTTTTCTTATTTCCCCATTTTCTTTGTCTGCCCCTCTCTCTCTGTATCCCCTCTGATTCTGCCTCCTGTGGTGACAGGCAAAGCAGAAACCATGGGAATGGTCCCGTTGTGGTCTTTGAAGCCACAGAAGGGAAGTTAAACCTGGCCTGGATTTCCCCACGTTTGAAAACACAGAGTCTTTCCCTGTGCTCCTTTTAGAGTAAAGAAGAAACAAAAAGTAAAATATCCAATCTGTAAACGTTTTGTTCATATAAATGTATTTTTATGCGTGTAGTTTGCATTTAAAATTTTTGTTGTAGAAATTGTTAACCACATACGGAAGTAGAGAGAATAGTACAAACACAGAAGATAGTATAATGTGCCGTCCAGCTACAGCAGTTACAGACCCATGGCCGTTCTGGTTTCATCTCTGTCCCCGGCCAGTCCCCTGTGGTGTGAAGCAGGTTTCAGACTTTGTATCATTTCATTTGTAAATATATTAGTATACATCTCTAAAAAGATAAAAGTTCTTTTAAAAATACAGCGTACAATGATCACATCTGAAACAATTAACAGTAACATCTTAGTATTAAATATTTAGTCAGTGCATATGTGACTGGTTGATAAATCTATAAAGTGTTTTTTGGTCACTGAGTTTCCCTGTCCACCTCTCTTTTCTTTCCTTTACAGTTTTTTGTTGAAAAATCAGGGTCAGTTGTCTACAGATTTTTCAGTCTGGATTCTGCTGACAGCATACTCATGGTGTAGAGTGATTAATACATTCTTCTATTCTTTGTATTTCCTGACAGTTGGTAGGTAGATACATAGCTTATGTGTGTACATGGTTTTTAGACATCAGACTTAAAATAAAAATGAGTGTTAATCCATTTTTATGACTTTACTGCCCGACATTTAATGTCTCCAGGCCCAAGTTGTTCTTTGGGGATAAGCAAATCTGATAAATGAATGTATTACAGTATTAATGAGGGGAAGGCTAGAGCAGAGGATATTGAAAACAAAATTGATCAGCTTTCTTAGAAAACGGTTGTCAGTCTGTTCATATGGAAAGAACGTAAAGGTCACAACTTCTCTTGAGGTAGTAAATGGTGAGTAACATGTATTTAAAGCTTATACTCCAGGTTCTCGTCTAAGCGCTTAATATAAATGATTTCCTTTAAGACTGAACAGATCTGTAAGGTAAGTGCTAAAAGCATCTCCCATTTTCCACAAGAACACTGAAGCACAGAAATGTTAAGTAACTTATCCAGGGTCACAAAGATACTAAATGTTCTCTTGGGACAAAATAGAATGATTAGTCAGACTAATTATATTTTATTAGTATAATTTAATATTGTATATTTGATCATGATATACTTAAAAGTATGTCTTATTGATGGAATTTCTTTTTTTTTTTTTTAAATGTTTTTATTTATTTCTAGGAGAGAGAGAGAGAGACCGTGTGAGCAGGGGAGGGTCAGAGAGAGAGGGAGTCACAGACTGAAACAGGCTCCAGGCTCCGAGCTGGCAGTCAGCACAGAGCCCGATGCGGGGCTCGAACCCACGAACCGCGAGATCATGACCTAAGCGAAAGTTGGACGCTTAACCGACTAAGCCACCCAGGCGCCCCTATTGATGGAATTTCTTGAAAATCAGAGTATAATTTCTTTTGGTGCATGTGTATCTAGAAGTCTTAGAAAATTAAATTCAGATAATGTTATTTTTTAAATTTCTAGTTAAAGAAACAATTTCCTGCTATAGCCCTGAAGATTCCTGCCAAGAGAATATTTGGTGATAACTTTGACCCAGGTAAGCAATAATTTTATACACCTGCCATAGTGATGGTTAGGTTAAAGTTTGAAGAAGTAGTTAAGGTGTTCATTGTGCTACATAGTAGTACAAGATTTCTCAAAGCTAATTGATCTCATGTTCTATGAAACTAATACTTCAGAAAGGTGCTTTCTGTGTACCAGGCATTGTTTTAAACACTTAACATGTTTTAAATGATTCAGTGGTCACAAAAATCCTTTGAGGCAGGTATTCTTACTCTCGTCATCACTATTCTATAGGTTAGGAAACTGAGGCACATTTAGATTAATAGCCCAGAGTCACAGCTGTTAAGTGTCTTACTTATAAGTTAATTCAAGCAGTCTGGCTTCAGGTAAATTTATTGATCATTAAGGATAATTTGAGTACATTTTCTAACCATAAAGGACATTCTTTGTTACATCCAGACCCATTTATTAAATATATACTCCGTACACAGCACCCTGCAGGCCTCTGAATGGGATACTAAGATATTGTCCTATTATTTACGCTTAGGGAGCCTCATGACACGTAGATCTCAGGAGTCTGGAGCTATATGTCTGAAGCCTCAAGCCTGGAAATTTTTTCACTAGAATCCGTAATATCAGTCCAGGTCACAAATGGCTGCATACAGAGAGACAGAAGGTTCCTTATCCGCCAGATAATCTCCTCATGCAGATGAGAAGAGCCATCTGTCCGTGCCCCGGGTGAACCCCGAGCTAGAGTGCAGTCCATCCTCATCTCCCCTACATCTGTCATTCATTTGCTTATACCCTTGTAACCCATTACACTCTTGGTCCCTTTCATGTGCGCTTTCTTGCGTCCCTGCTCAAGATAGAAGCTCTCATACCACTTGTCCTAACTGCGTCCTCTCCGCAGCTTAGCCTTATCTCATTTCTTTCCCTCAGGCCTTTGCACTGTGCCCTGTGGAATTCTGTCCATGACTGACAGACTCCCCTTTATCCTCCATCTTTTTCATATTTCTTTCATACTCTTGCTTTAATTAAACTTAGTTTTTTCCCCTGCGGCTGCTGGATTATCCCCGGGAGCCCTCACATCTGGAGACTCTTAATTCTTTTATACTTTATGAACCTCAAGATTGGAAAGGGTTCTCACTTTCCGTGTTATGTGTAGAATTTTTTTCTCTTGGGAGTATTTAGCACACTTTATTGTCATTGCCATTCTGTCTTGTCTGGCTGTAGATTTTATGAACATTGGTACTTTGTCTTTTTTACTGATTTATAGTGCCTTGTAGATCTTAGGTTTTTAGTAAATATCACTTAAATACATGAACTGATTAATAAATAGTAGCAAATAAAAAGGAAAAAGAAAGCAAGAGAAGATTGAGTCACTACAGCAAAGCCAGATAGTACTTTCTGTAGAATCGATTCTATAGGCCAGTGCCTTTGGACTAATTTTGCATTTAGCTGCAGAACGCTTAAGTCCCAATGACATCTTCCACAGAAGATGACATGTGTAGAACAAATAAAAATGAGGCTGCTCTGTTGGTGCAGGAGTAAAGTATATCTGTGGAGCACAGGTTGAAAACATCATCATGGGTAACATGTGGGTCTTAGAATTATTTGGGTGAAGTGAGTATGAAACAATGTGAAACTGACTGTATCATACAGTAGGCATAGCAGAGAGAAAGACAGGATGGAGACTGGGAACGTGGGGAAGGGACTGTTCCAGCAGTCCTCACATCAGATAATCACAACCAAGACTAGGGTGGAAACGGACTAACACATATGCAGGAATTCTTTTAAGGAAAAATCTATAAGAAATCTTGGTGATTGCTTAGGTAAGGGAGATATAGAGAAGAGAATAAGAGATAATTGAGGTGTCAAGATTGGGTGAATAAGAGAATTAATTAATTTGAAGTGGCAGAAGGACATCTGAGGAATTGAACTGAGGAATGAAACATGTGTTACTGAATGGAGACTTGAACTTGGGCTGGAGTTCTGGAGAGCCCTTAGTTGAATCCTAATGATAGAATCATTCCATTTTTATCAGGGGAAGAAGACAAAGACCTGCAACTTCCTTCTTCAAGGCAAAATCCTGGATAGAATGTCCTGTAGTATTTATGTTTTGGTGGATTAATTTGATACTAAAAAATAGATTTTTGTTGAAGAACAATTTGAAATTGATAGGGAGTATATTGTATATGACTTGGCAACAGTGTAATAGACCATATGTCACAGAGATCCAGAAAGCTCTTTATTGGGGAGATCAAATCTAAGCCATACTCAGACAATCACAGAGTGACGAGATGCTCATTTAATTAGGCTTTAGGGAAACAGGCATGTTTTGCTGGTGGGAATGATGTGGTATAATCCAAATTGTGTGGTATTTACCAAAACCGTAAAAGCATTTCACTGTGACCAAGAAATCACGTTTCTAGGAATCTGTTCCAGAGATAAAGTGCATATGAAATGATGTGCATATAAGACTGTTTATTGTGCATTATTCTTAACAACAAAAACTGGAAACAACTGAAAGGTCCTAACCTTGGAAATGATGCAGCTTTAAAAGAATGAGGAAGCCCTTTGTGCATTACAGTAGAGTGATCTGCAAAATACATTTTTCAGTGGAAAAAACAAAGTACAGATGTGTATAGTGTATCTTTTTTGTATTGGAAAGGGCATAGGGATTCAAAAGGAAATAATGGAAAATGGAAAAATGGAAAAATCTTCCATGGAAAAAATGGAAGAGTAAACTGAACAGCTGAAAACTAGTGACTTTAAGGAGTGGGAAGAGGCCAGGGGTAGGCAGATGGGAGAGAAGTGAGATATCCTTGAATAAGTCTTGTTTATGGCTTTGACTTTGGAATCATGTGCATGTTTTAAACATATTTAACAACAAAAATACACTAATAAAGTGATCTTTAGCAGTTAAACTGAAGGGAAAAACCTAACTCTGTTTTGATTGGTAGTGTAAACACATGGAGAAAAATTAACCTTAAATGACTTCAAAACATAGAATTCTTACCTTATATTCCTCCTGAGATGTATCCTAAGAACAAAAAAAGTGCACAGAAATTTTCACTCTGCGTTCAGCAGTCTTATTGTTATAATATGAAGTTGTTATTTTGTAATTATGTTATCTCACGGGAACCAGTTTTTAGCAGAACAGGAAAGATAGAAAAAGAAATTTTAATAAAAATCTTATAATTTTTAGCTTAATTTGGAAATATAGTATGAAATCATGATGTATTTTTTCATTTTTCTAAATACTTATTTTAGAGAGAGACACAGAGCGCCAGCGGAGGAGGGGCAGAGAGGGAGGGAGACACAGAATCCACAGGAGGCTCCAGACTCTGAGCTGTCAGCACCGAGCTCGACGTGGGGCTTGAACTCACATACTGTGAGATCACGACCTGAGCCAAAGTTGGATGCTTAACCTACTGAACCACCCAGGCGCCCCATGATTTATTTTTTTTCTAAAACAACGCATATTCCTTAGCTCTCACCTTGGGAAATGCCTGAAACAGTAACAAGTAGCAGTGAACATTCGTAGCGTCTGGATTGTAATCTCCCAAATACTGTTTCCCCCCTTAAAGCAACCAGAGTCCATGGAAAACAGTGATTCCACATCTGGGGCAAGAAGTACCCAGGATGGTCCTACGACGTCTTGCCTGAACGCAGAGAGGCCGTACAAGATTACTAAAGTTTTATCGAAGGATGCAGGAGCTCCCTTGATGGGGCTTTCACTGGCCAAAGATGGAAGTTAGAGCACGAAGAAAGAATCTGCCGTTAACTTACTGAATGCTTGGCAGCCATTGTGCGGAGCTTTTCCATACATCTCTCTTGAGTTCTTATGTTTGTAGCCTAAGAGCATGTCTCCATCTTCTTTTTTCACTTCTTTATTCTGGTGGTTGCCAACCTCTATAAAATAAGTTTTAACATATTTGAAGGTGGTTTTAAGGGTTGTTTCTGCCTATACTTTTCAAAGTTAAAATTTCATTTTTAGTTTAAGGATCTTTCTGTAGAGTACAGAGAGATAGCTATACTAAATGGTTTAATATCAAGCCTTTTGCCAATAGGATCCCAAGGTCAGTATATAAACTACATTCTGGGTTTTTTTGAAGCTTAAACAAAAGTTTATTTTATCATAATTATTTAAAAAAGAGTACAGGGTAACAAAATCAGTGTGAATCTAGTAAGAAATAGGGCATATGAATTTTAGAATCTATGAATGTTAGAATATAATTGCTTAGTATTTTATTTATTTACAAAAACATCAGTTAACTTCCTCTCATTACACTCGTGTTAAGGGCTAAAGATAAATGTTTTTTAAAGGCATGACACTGAAATGGCTTACATAGAACCACTTTGGGGTGCCTGAGTGGCCCAGTTAAGCATCCGACCCTTGATTTGGGTTCAGGTCATCATCCCACAGTTTGTGGCATTGAGCCCCATGTTGGGCTTCATGCTGATAACACAGAGCCTGCTTGGGATTCTCTCTCCGTCTCTGCCCCTCCCCTGCTCGCTTGTACATGCTCTCTCTCCCTCTCTCTCTCTCAAAAAAAAAAAGTTAAACCATTTTTATTTCTCACTTGTAACCTTTACTAATTTAAGAGAAATAGGTTCATACAAGATAAAAAGACAATTCCCCAGTATTATTCTAGTCTTTGAGTTCTTCTGAGGCCTAGACATCATACCCAGCTAGTTCTTTCTAAGACTTGATGTAGATACCAGTGCCTTCCGAAATTTTTCCTGAACACTAGTCTCTAGGTAGGGTTGGGAGCCTCTTCTCTGCTCTCATAGCAGCTTTTGAAATCTCAGTTCACTCGGTGGGGCTTGAACTCACGGACTTGAGATCATGACCGGAGCTGAAGTCGGATGCTTAACTGACTGGGCCACCCAGGTGCCCCTGCCTCTCCAAGTTTGGTAATGAGTCTATTTAGAACCAAAAATAGGCATTTCTTCAGAGAGTTTTCTTTTGGGAGATATGTTTTCTGCTTGATTTTTATAATCATTGTATTTGTAGATTTTAAAAAAATATATTTTTAAGTATTTCTTATTGTATATCAAGAAACATGGGGGCGCCTGGGTGGCTCAGTCAGTTAAGCATCTGACTTCGGCTCAGGTCATGATTCGCGGTTCGTGGGTTCGAGCCCCGCGTCGGGCTCTGTGCTGACTGCCAGCTCGGAGCCTGGAGCCTGTTTCAGTCTGTGACTCCCTCTCTCTCTGACCCTCCCCTGCTTATTCTCTCTCTCTCTCTCTCTTTCTCGGAAATAAAACATTAAACAGTTTTAAAAAAAGAAACATGAATTAAGAAATAGCTTCCTTGAGCGAAATAAGTCAGGCAGTGAAGGACAATTATCATATGTTTGCACGTATAGGAGGATTAGGAGGAACTTAACGGAGGACCATGGGGGAGAAGAAGGGGGAAATGGTGGGGGAGAGGGAGGGAGGCAAACCATGAGAGACTCTTGAATACTGAGAACAAACTGAGGGCAGATGGGGTGGGGGGAAGGGGAAGGGGGAGATGGGCATGGAGGAGGGCACTTGGGGGATGAGCACTGGGTGTTATATGGAAACCAACTTGACAGTAAACTATTTAAAAAAAAGAAACTGTCAAAAATAAATAAATAAACATTAAAAATTTAAAAAAAAAATAGCTTCTTGGTCAAAATTCACTGTCTTGTGCTTGTTTACTCTTATCTAACTGTATGGATGATAATTACATAGTCTGTCATAAATAACCCTAATAGTTTGTCTCTTTTAACAGATTTTATTAAACAAAGAAGAGCAGGACTGAATGAGTTCATTCAGAACTTAGTTAGGTATCCAGAACTTTACAACCAGTAAGTAATTTTTATTGTTTTGAAGAGGTGCTAAAACCAAACCTAAGAATATTGAATAAGCTACTGATGTAGATTTTATACGTTCTGTGGAAGTTACTGTGTTGTATATGTTTGTAAAATCATCAAGCAGTTTCCCCTGCTGTTCTTAATCTCCTTTTCCTCCCATCAACTCCAGGCCCTAGTTCTTTTCTCTCTTCTTTCTGTACTTGTATTAGTTTTGTAGATTAAACTTAAAAGAAACTTGCATAGTACATAGTTAGGCATTTTTCTAATTATATTTATTCATGTTATATTTATACATGCATTCAAAAAGCATTTGTTAAATCACTATACTGTACACCTGAAACTAATATTACACGGTAATGTTGACTAACTGGGATTCAGATAATAATTTTTTTTTAACATTCATTTTTGAGAGGGAGAGAGAGACAGAGTATAAGTAGGGGGAGAACAGAGAGAGGAGACACAGAATCTGTGCTGTCAGCACAGAGCCTTATGCGGACCTTGAACTCACAGGCCACAAAATCATGACCTAAGCTGAAGTCAGATGCTTAACCAACTGAGCCACCCAGGCGTCCCCAGATAAAGCCTTTTTTAAAAGCATTTATTGAGTACCTGCTGTATGCATTTGTATATAAGGAGAACTTTCCAGAGGCACAGGCTAGTCTAGTGGGAGAAACAGACATATAAACCAGCAATTAAAGGTAGGAAAGTTTTATGATAGAGGTGTTAGAAGGTAACGGAGAAAATCGTGGCCAGCTTTTCTTAGAAGGAGGTCAAGCAAGGCTTCCTGGAATTTAAAGGGTGCGCAGTTGTTCAGGAAAAGATAGGGAGAGCATCCAGGCAAAGAGGGCAGAATCTACAAAGAGCCTGACATGTTCAGGATACTTATGTGTTTATATATCATGGTGACTAGAACACAGCAGGTTTTCAGAAAGGAGATGAGACTGAAGGAGTTGGCGAGGGTCATGCACACATGCCACCACTCCTTGTTTCACCTGGGGCAGTGTTCTGACCCAGGCCGGACCTCCAGGCCTTCTCAACACAGCATTCCCGGTAGCCACTCAAACCCAAAGGTGCTTTCCTGGCCCTATGTGTGTCTCCCATTGGTGAGTTTAAGCTTTCTGCTGTAAGTCAGCAGCTCCTGATGAGGTCAGAAGGGTGGGCCATGTCAGAAATACCTACGAACATATAGGTAGATCCATGGTTTGAGATGTGTGTTCATTTTTGAGTTTGGTAATTTGTGGGTATTCATTATATTTATTATTTTTAATTTACATATGTTACTTGCATTGTTTTATATGTATAAAGTATTATGTTCTAAGAAGTAGAGGGGATAAAGTAAATTTCTGGGGAGCTTGTCCCATTGCTCACCTGTCTGTGTAGACATGAAGGTTACCTTATGGACAGTGATGCAAACATGACACACTTTAATAGTCTTTTCAGAATCACAGCCTGAAGGACTGTATATTTAGCGGTTGTTCTAAAACCAGTGACTACCGTTTGTATATTTCTTCACAGTATAATTATTGAGGGCTTCTACCATTCTGAGCAAGTCCTCTGACCTCTTTTTCTAACTTAATTTAATTTACTAAATTAGTAAAATACTAAAACTGAATCCCCTCTGACCAAGGTCTCCTACCCAGTGCTTTGGACTTTCCCTCAGTGCTCACAGGTGGGACAAGGTCAGGGAGGGATGTGGTCCCTGTGGTGACTCTGAGGCTCGCCGGTGCACTGAGGGCAGGTGCCTCTCCATTCTGAGCCTCAGCAGGGAGCCAGCACAGAATTAGCGAGGATCCTTGAACTCAGCGTTTGTACATCTGGTCTTTTCATCAGCAAAGAGCCTTTTGTGATTTAGCTCTCTGTAGAACTATTTTTTTAAACATTATGCCTTTGCCCCAGGACAAATTCTGTATCTTCAACTTAGATCCATACCTCTGATCTTTAATTTTTGCTGTATGCACTTAGAGTACTTCAAATTGGCATATTAGTGGCTTGTTTGAAATAAAATTCATACATTGAGAGGTTGAATTTGTCTTCTTTGAGTCTCACATGGAATAAGTATAGAATAAATGGTGGTGACGGATATTATTTCTCTTACTCAGAACTTCTAATACTATAAAGTTCTAAATATCCGTCCTGGATCTGGAAAGTAATATTATAAAAATGTTACATTTGGTATTAAAATTCACCTAAAGCAAATTGATTATATTAATTTTAAGTATACAATTAAAGTACACATACCGTAAAATATACAGTTCTTAAGTATACAACCCAATGGATTTATACATACGTATACAACCTGTAACTACCACCATTCTATTTAAGGTTGAGGACATTTCCAGTACTTCAAAAATGAGTAGCCATGAGCTTTTTCAAACTTAACTTTTAACTAATGTTTTCTTTTTATTAAAAAATGACATTTCATATTTTCTGAATCTCATCTTGGTATTAACAGGGTTTTGCTAGTTTTCACACTTTTCATCTAAACATCAAACTATAAAATAATACTTAAGATTTAAGAGAACAAGAAGAGCCAATCGTCAAGTGTATTTTGAACACCTGCTTATTCCCAGTTAAGGAAATGTACTTTAAGAATACTTCTACTTGAGGTGCACCTGGGTGGCTCAGTCGGATAAGTGACCAGCTTCAGCTCAGGTCATGATCTCACAGTTTGTGAGTTTGAGCCCCACATCGGGCTTTGTGCTGACAGCCACTGGTCTCTGTGCTAGAGCCTGCTTTGGATTCTGTGTGTTTCTCTCTGCCCCTCCCCAAACTATGCTCTGTCTCTCTTTCTCTTTCAAAAATAAGTAAACATTAAAAAATTTTTTAAAAAAATACTTCTACTTGATGAAGCGGCTGGCTGGCTCAGTCAATGGAGCGGGTTGGGGTTGTGAGTTCAAGCCTCATGTTGGGCGTAGAGATTAACTTAAAAATAAAATCTTTTACAAAATAGAAGAAAATACCTTTACTTGCTTCTGTTAAAACAAATTCATTAAGGGGTGCCTGGGTGGCTCAATCGATTAAGCATCGGACTCCGGCTCAGGTCATGATCTCACGGTTCATGGGTTCGAGCCCCACGTCGGGCTCTGTGCTGACAGCTCAGAGCCTGGAGCTGCTTCAGATTCTGTCTCCCTCTCTCTGACCCTACCCTGCTCATGCTGTCTCTCTCTGCCACAAATAAATAAAGACATTTTTTAAAAACTTCATTACAGTTTAATTTTAACATTATTTAAAAACTGGAAACAAGGTAGGTTGATATTTCTCTGTTCTCTGAATGAAGTTTTCTGAACATGTTGGCAGTGCATGATATGTAAAGTAAAACAATGACAAATGTGACTTAATAAAAACTTTTGAACCCCAGAAATCACAAGTAAAATTAAAAACCAAAAATGTAGGAAAAGCTTTTCATAGTAAAGAACAATAGATAAATCTGCTTCATATAAAAAGAGCTTGTGCAGACAGTACACACCTAAGACACCAAAAGAAATGGACAGAGCCCTTTAATGATTTATCGAAGAGATGCAAGTGGCTGATTACCAGAGAAACAGCATTTCCATATCTATTTAAGAAATGCAAGTTGGAATAAAAATACCTTATTTTAGCTTTATTGCAGTATAACACATACAGAAAAGAGCACAAATCATGATCATACAGCTTAATGAACTATGAGAAAGTGAACACATCTGAGTTGCCAGCCCCCAGGCTAAGAAATGTAGAACATTACCAACACCCCCAAAACCCTCACATGCCTCCTCTCAACCTCTATTCCTTCGCTCCTTCCCAAAGATAACTGTTCTTCTGAGCATTAGCAGGAAAGGTTAATGTGCCATTTTTGTACTTTTTAATAAATAGAATCATACAATATGTATTCTGTATCTGGCTTATTTTCAAGTTTGTTTATTTTTGAGAGAAAGAGAAATATGAGCGGGGGAGGGGCAGAGAGCAAGGGAGACACAGAATCCGAAGCAGGCTCCAGACTCCAGACTCCAAGCTGTCAGCACAGGGCCCGATGTGGGGTTCGAACCCATGAACTGAGAGATCATAATCTGAGCCAAAGTTGGATGCTCAACCAACTGAGCTATCTAGGCATCCCTCTATCTGGCTTCTTTTCAGATAGTCATTCATGTTGTTGCATATAGCTATAATTGGTTGATTTCTATTACTGTATAATATCCCATTGTATGAATATACTCCATTTTATCAATTTTACTGCTCAGATGCATATTTGAGTTGTTTTTATTTTATTATGAATGATGTTGACATTAACGTGCAGACATTTCTCATGTACTTGGAGTAGAACTCGGTTGTACACTATGTATATGTTTAGGCTTAGGGGATAATGTTTTCCAAAGTGATTGTACCAAATAATACTTCTGGTATCCATTTATAAGGTCACATTGCTCACCTCACCAACACTTGATATTGTTAGTCTCTTTAATTTTAGCCATTCTGGTGAGTGGGTTGTAGTATCTCACTGTTGCTTTATTTGTATTTCACTAATTACTAATAAAGTTGAATACCTTTTCTTTAAATTACTATTTTATACTTATTAAATTATTAGAGATAGTAATATAAACTGAAGTATTTAATGCTAATTAGAGCTGGAGAGTGTCTTCAGGATGTTCATATACTGCTGGGAGAGGATAAATTAGTATAACCTTTTGGAAATCAGCTAAACAATTGTATTTAAAGCCTGAAAATCGTTTGTAATTCAGACCAAATAATTTTATTTTAAAACATCGGGGCACCTGGGTGGCTCAGTCGGTTGGACGTCTGACTTCAGCTCATGTCATGATTTCACAGTTTGTGGGTTCGAGCGCCGCGTCAGGCTCTGTGCTGACAGCCAGCTCAGAGCCTGGAGGCTGTTTCAGATTCTGTGTCTCCCTCTCTCTGACCCTCCCCTGCTCACGCTCTCTCGCTCTCAAAAATAAAAAAAAAAAAAAATATTTTTTAAAAATAAGTGTAGTTCTAATGTTATGCACAAAGATTATCAATCAAAACTTTACTTATAGCAGTGAAAATTCTGTAGTAAAAAGTTGGAAGCCATGTATGTATCCTAAAACAAAAGAATCATTGAATAACATTTACTGCGTTCTCACTATGCAACAGTATACATCTATCAAAAGTGACTATTTACAAAGACTTTAACAACATGGGGAAATGTTTATAATATAATTTTTATGTGAAAAACATTAAACATATTTTAAATAGAAGGTGGTCTTAGTGGTGCAGAAGAAAATATTGAAATAAAATACCACCAAAATATTAGTAATAGTTGCTTCTGTGTGAGAAAATTGAAGATCCTTATCCTCACCTTTAAAATTTTTTTTTTGAGGGGCTCTTGGGTGGCTCAGTCAGTTAAGCAGCTGACATTGGCTCAGGTCATGATCTTGCAGTTCGTGAGTTCAGGCCCTGCATCAGGCTCTGTCCTGACAGCTCGGAGCCTGGAGCCTACTTCAAGTTCTGTTTCTCCCTCTCTCTGCCCCTTCCCTGCTCACACTCTCACTCTCCCTCTCAAAAATAAACATTAAAAAAATTTGTTTTAGTTTTATTGAGATAAAATTCACATATATATAATTCACCCTTTTAACTTTTTAAAATATACAATTTAGTGGTGTTCAATATAGTCACAGTGCTGCCCAGCCATCACCACTATCCAACTCTGTTGTCTCAAGTTTAATCTAAATTTTTTTTAAATGTTTTATTTCTTTCTGAGAGAGAGAGAGAGAGACAGCATGAGCAGGGGAGGGTCAGAAAGAGAGGGAGACACAGAATCTGAAACAGGCTCCAGGCTCTGAGCTGTCAGCACAGAACCCAACGTGGGGCTCGAACCCACACCGTGAGATCATGATCTGAGCCGAAGTCAGACACTTAACCGACTGAGCCACCCAGGTGCCCCAAGTCTAATGTAACAGTAACATCACTCCAAAAAGAGATTACAATTAACCCTTGAACAACATGCGTTTGAACTTTACAGGTCCACTTATACATGGATTATTTTTTGATACAGTACAGTACTGTAAGTGTATTTTCTCTTTAAGATTTTCTTAACCTTTTCTCTAGGTTACTTTATGGTAAGAATACACTATATAAAACATATAACACAAAATAAGTGTTAACTGTTTATGTTATTGGTAAGGCTTCAGGTCAACAGAAGGCTCTTAGTAGTAAAGGTTTTGGGGGAGTCAAAAGTTACACATGGATTTTCAACTGCATGGGGCGTCAGGTCCCCTAAACCCCATGTTGTTCAAGGGTCAGATGTACTTTTGAATTTCACCTAACCCTTGGCAACCATTAATCTACTTTTCTGTCACTGTTAACTTGCCTATTCTGGACATGTCATATAAATGAGGTCATATAATATGTGACCTTTTTTGTCTTTTGTTTTCCTAGCGTAATGTTTTTGAGGTTCACCCATGTAATATCATATGTCAGTACTTTATTCTTTTGTATGGTGGAATAATGTTCCTTTGTATGGACATGCTGCATTTTGTCCATTCATCAGTTAATGAATAATTGGATTGTTTATACTTTCTGGCTATTGTGAATAATCCTGCTTATGAACATTTGTGAGTTTTTGTGTGAATATGTTTTTATTTCTTTGGGGTACTTCCTAGGAATGGAATTGCTTAGTCATATGGAAATTCCCCATTTAACTTTTTTAGGAACTGACAAACTGTTACCCATAGTGGCTACACTAGTTTACATTCTCACCAGCTCCTCCTCTTTTTAAAAATTATTTTTCATCTTTCTGAGTTTCTTAGTAAGGCGTGTCTTTTATTTTAGTCCATTTTTTTCTCTTCATGTTTAATCTTCATACCCATATCTTCATCCCTACTGTTGATACCTACTTGAATATGTTTTTTATATGTCTTTGGATATTTGTTTATGGGTGCTACTTCATGTCTGTGAATATTTAATATATACAAAAATAATGCTGTGCTATATAGTTCCTTGTTTCTGACTCTTGAGTGGAATTCTCTGTGAGAGGTTACCATAGCTTTACTAGTTTCTCTATTGGTGGATGCCTATTCTGCTTCTGATTTACTATTATAGAGAGAGTTACTATGAGTATCCTAGTTAAGTGTCTTTTATTGAACTCGTACATAGGTTTTTTTGTGGTTTATTCCTACAACTGGAAATTCTGGGCCCAGGAAAACCGCATACACAGTTTAACCAAGTATTGCCAAAATCCTTTTCAGAAAAGCTTCCTCATTTTACTTTCTTAATAGCAATGCGTGAGGGTGTCTCTTTTCCTATATCCCTACCAACTTCTGATAATATCTGTCTTTTTAATTTTTGCCCATTAATGGCCATAAAGTGGTATCTCCTTATTGTTTGACTTTGAATTTCTTTGATTATTAGTTAAGCTAGACATCTTCCTTACCAGTTGGGATTTTTCTTTACGAACTGCCTGTTTTTATCTTTGATCATTTGTCTGTTGGATTCCCTATATTTAAAAAATTAATCAGCTTGTTGCTTTCATAATAATAGTGATGGATTGTATCAGCTTTCATACTGTAAATGTTATTATGGTTATTTTTACTTTCAGAGGGAGAAAAGCTATAGTGATAAAGTTATAATAAAGTTCATTTTTGTTTTTAGTCCAGATGTCAGAGCATTCCTTCAAATGGACAGCCCAAAACATCAGTCAGATCCATCCGAAGATGAGGATGAAAGAAGTACTCAGAAGGTAGTAAGAGGCATTGTATTTCTTAACAGAAAAAATACCATTCCCAAAGATGAAATTATTGGCAACTTGAGAGCAACATTTACTTAAAATGATGTAATTTCATCAATTGTAAATTTTCTACTCTGTAGAATACATAAAAACAAATGTGTACACATTTGCAATTATTTCTTATAAAGTTAGTACTTTTTATAGATAAAAAGTAACACATGCTCGTATTTAGTAGAAAGAGTAATAGAAAGTTTAGTTAGTAGGAAGTTTTGAAAATAGTAAGAAGTATTACTTTCTTATCACTAATCAGACTTGTAATTTTTAACATTTTAGTGGTTTTCTAGCTAATCTTAATGTATAGGGATTTTTTTAGTTACCTAATTTCAATTTTATATGCTGTTCTCTTCACTTTACATCTTAATTTTTGATCACTATATATCTTCATAATCATTAACATACTTAAACTGTTGTTTTGAATTTTGATCAGCCAGAAAGGCCTTTTCAATCAGAATGTTAATTTAATACTTCTTCCTCTGCATTGCCAGGTTTTTATATGCAGAACAATCAATACGCATGTGCCAGTTGGCATCAACTAAGTTTTATTCCTGTAGGTACATGCACATAACCAGTATGTGTTCCAAATAAAGAATAGAATATTCTTATTTTTTTGAAATCAGTTGTGATAACCAGTAAATAAATATAATAAGCTCTGGCTTATTATAACGATGTTTTCAACATTTACTTTAGAAAGTTACATGGGAAAGGTAAATTACAGTAATTTAACCCAGAGAATTATTATTTAGCAGTTAAAATTATAATGAAAACTCTTATATAAATATGCTAATACTTTTACAATTAAAAGTAATAAAAACTATATATTTGCTAAATATATACATGAAATTCAGAGATGTTGCCTTAAAGTACAGTTTTTGTTTATATAGTGTTGTCTTTTTCATGGTTCTGTTTTTGTGATTTAAAAGATCATATGAATTGGAACATTACTGTCCCATAGCTAAAATCTTCATTTGAATAATAGTCCTGTTTCTTGTAACTATTATAAAGTAGTAATTTCCCATCTCTGTTACCACAGGAGGGTTTTCAAGTTAAGACAACTCATTTATGTTTTCCATTTGTGACGTGGTTTATCCCAGGACAACATAAAAGGATATTTTTATATCTGCACGTTGTCAAAAGAGAGACAACAGACTGGGAAAAACATTTGTGTAAAAATATATAAATGGATTTTTGGAAAGAATAGTATTTAAAACCCTGTAGATAAAAAGTAAAGGGACATGATGGCGTGTCTGGATGGCTCAGTTGCTTAAGCGTCCGACTTCGGCTCAGGCCATGATCTCACAGTTCGTGGGTTCGAGCCCCGCGTCGGGCTCTGTGCTGACAGCTCAGAGCCTGGAGCCTGTTTCAGATTCTGTGTCTCCCTCTCTCTCTGACCCTCCCCTGCTCACACTTTCTCTCTTTCAGAAATAAATAAAATGTTAAAAAAAATTTTTTTTTTAGAAAGCAAAGGGACATGAAGAAATACTGTTCGTAAACAGATATGTGGGAAATGTTCAACCTCAATGCCAACAGCAAGTGAAATTTTTAAAATAGAGATTTTTTTCTCTCTACCAAATTAACAAAAATGTAAATAAAAATAAAAATATAAAAATGTCAAGACTAATAGGGTAAGGCACAGTAGGCACCCCTGCCTGGGCTTTCCTGGCACCACTATGATTTTATGTAATTCTTTTGGAAAGTGGTTTGGCAATGTGTATGAAACATGAAAATATTCAGGTCATTTAGGAGTTGATGCTAATGAAATAATTCTTCACACAGAAAAAAAGATAATCACTTTAGTATAAAAAATTATCAGTGTAAATATAAACCTATCAGATAGTGATTGTCCCCATATATTGTACATTAAAAAAATTTTTAAGATAATATTTTAAGTTTTTTTGTTTGTTTGTTGTTTTTTTATTTATTGCTGAGAGAGAGAGAGAGACTGTGAGCAGAGGAGGGTCAGAGAAAGGGAGACACAGAATCTGAAATAGGCTCCAGGCTCTGAGCTGTCAGCATAGAGCCTGATGCAGGGCTCGAACCAACGAACTGTGAGATCATGACCTGAGCTGAAGTCGGTCACTTAACCGACTGAGCCACCCAGGCGCCCCAATATTTTAAGTTTTGACATACTGTTACCTGAAATGAGAGTATAAAATTTTTTTTTAATGTTTTATTTATTTTTGAGAGAGAGAGATAGAGACAGCATGAACAAGGGAGGGTCAGAGAAAGAGGGAGACACAGAATCTGAAGCAGGCTCCAGGCTCTGAGCTGTCAGCACAGAGCCTGATGCGGGGCTCGAACCCACAAACCATGAGATCATGGCCTGAGCCGAAGTCAGACACTCAACCGACTGAGCCACCCAGGTACCCCAGGAGTATAAAATTTTATATGCATATTCTCACGGTACAATTCCAGTCAGGTTTTCAAAGTTATGCAAATACTATATGAAATTACTGTAATATTTGCAAGATCATCTGTTAATAAGGTTATTTATATTTTAAAAAGCATCTTCCTGGTGTTTTCCATATTTTCTAACGATGTATATATTTTAATGCAAAAAGATGAAATAATAAAAATATTGTAAAGAAAATGTATATAATCCTGATTTTCCATGTTTTGCTTACTAATCATGCTGAGAGTACGTAGGTTTAAGTCATTTGAAAAATACCTTGCCTTGCTATAGGAGACAGCTGGCTTTGAGGAAAGAACCAAATGAAGAGAGCTTCCTGAGTTCTGATTCCTGTTCTCTGCCACTTTTGACCTTAGATCTGAATTCTCTGTGCTTTCTCTTTTTTCATCCATAAAATCTGAAATTGGACTAGGATCTCTTGCAGTTTTAAAATATGGAAAAAAATTTCAGAAAAGAGAAGAAGCTGTACTTTGTCTTATAGCTAGAGCTATTTATTAAGAACTTATAAGTGGATAACTAAATTAATAGCCAGAAAATATCTTTGAGGGCATCTTGCCCTTTCCCCTTATTTAGAGAAAAATAGAGGCCAAGAAACATGCTTTTGTTTAATCATCATTAATTATTAATTAAAATGGTTTTGTCATTAATTAATAATTAATGATAATTATATATAATGATAATTATGTTATTATAAATTATACCACACCCTCAGTTTAGTGGTTAAATTTAATCTTTAAAAAGAGTAGATAGGGTGTCTGGGTGACTCAGATGGTTGAGCGATTGACTGTTGATTTTGGCTCAGTTCATCATCTCATGGGTTTGTGAGACCAAGTACTACATCAGCACAGAGCCTGCTTGGGATTCTCTTTCTCCCCTTTTCTCTCTCTCCCTCATGCACATGGCGTGTCTTTGCTCAAAATAAGTAAATAAAACTTTTTAAGAAGGTATTTTTTTTTTTTAATATTTTTATTTCTAGGAGAGAGAGAGAGAGAGAGAGACAGTGAGACAGCGTGAGCAGGGGAGGGTCAGAGAGAGAGGGAGATACAGACTCTGAAACAGGCTCCAGGCTCTGAGCTGGCAGTCAGCACAGAGCCCGACGCGGGGCCCGAACCCACGAACCGCGAGATCATGACCTAAGCGAAAGTCAGACGCTTAACCGACTAAGCCACCCAGGCGCCCCAAGAAGGTATTAAAAACAGTAGGGAAGAAACAATTATGTTTCCCAATAATTTTCATTATTATTTTGGAAATGTGCTCTGTTAGGAAAATCATTGCTACGTAATGAAATATTTTTACGTATGGTGTAATTCAGGGCACAAGTTGTCCTAGTTTGATCGATGCTTACTGAATCCTCTTCCCTCATCTATATAAAGAAAGTTAGTTGAATGGAAAACTGATCCAGTTTTCTGCACATTCAAAGAATAAGTGTATTGAAATTGTAATTTAGTTTGGATTATGTTATCAGATTCTCAGGAACACTATCGTATATAAACAGAAAAGATTACTCCATGTTGAAGTTACGACATAACAGGCTCTCATTGCATGAACCAGATTTTTGATGCTTTTTGTTTTGGTCTTGTTGTATGGTTCTCTACTTCTGGAGACTAAAAATGTATTACATGAAAATTTTTCACGTAAAGATATTGGTACGAAGTAAATTTGTAAGTGGGAAGCTGGTGTCGACTTATTTTATAAGAAATGTGTTATGATTAGGAACTTGTGCCCTTTTTTTTTTTTAATTTTTAAAAAAAATTTATTTTGAGATAGAAAGGGCAAGTGCATGAGTGGGGGAAGGTCAGAGAGGAAGAGAGAGAATCCCAAGCAGGCTCCATCCATGCTGTCAGTGCAGAGCCTGATGTGGCCTCTGTCTCACAAACCGTGAGATCATGACCTGAGCTGAAATCAAGAGTTGGACACTTAACTGACTGAGCCACCAGCCACTCCTTTTCCCTTAGTTTTAAAAGTAGTTGGTTCGAGCCCCGTGTCGGGCTCTGTGCTGACTGCCAGCTCAGAGCCTGGAGCCTGTTTCAGTCTGTGACTCCCTCTCTCTCTGACCCTCCCCTGCTCACGCTGTCTCTCTCTCTCCTAGAAATAAATAAAACATTAAAAAAAAAAATTTAAAAAAAAAAAAAGTAGTTTGCGTTGTGGAGATTTTCTCCAAGTTTCAAATGAATTTAAATGGAAATACATATGATTTATATCTCTAATTAAGAAATAGCTTAGATAAAATTTTTTTGGTTGTGATGAGCTTAAAGGGAAAAGTTTTTAAGGCTTATTTGTATCTACAGCTTATGTGAAGTATAATTATATAATAGGGCTCTATATAATTAGGTTATCTACAGTTGTATGTATAAAGAATTTCAAAGGGAATTTATGTGAAGCAGAATTCACTTACACTTGGCTTTATAAAAAAGTGCTCATGCTAACAAAATCACTGGATTAATCTTACGGGATTTGGGGTTAAATTTCTAGCTAATTAGGGGCGCCTGGGTGGCTTAGTCGGTTGAGCGTCCGACTTTCGCTTAGGTCATGATCTCGCGGTTCGTGGGTTCGAGCCCCGCGTTGGGCTCTGTGCTGACTGCCAGCTCGGAGCCTGGAGCCTGTTTCAGAGTCNGTGCTGACTGCCAGCTCGGAGCCTGGAGCCTGTTTCAGAGTCTGTGACTCCCTCTCTCTGACCCTCCCCTGCTCACGCTGTCTCTCTCTCTCTCTCTCCTAGAAATAAAACATTAAAAAAAATTTTTTTTTAATTTCTAGCTAATTATTAGTGAACTAGAATCTTTTTTTAGTTAAATTGCTTTATGGTATAGTAAAGTAAAGATTTGCTTCTAAATAATACTAGAGCATAAATTTACTATGTTAATTATTATAGAGAGAAAAGCCTATCTAAAATTTTTATTAGACCACAATGGTGGGATTAGAAAGAAAAGTACTACTGTCTGCATGTATTTGCTTTAGAAATAAGTCTGTCTCCTGTAATTCAATCCAGCATCTGCAGTCATCATCATCATATTATCATTTCCATGTCACAAAATTTATGAGCAATTGTTTGAAAATTTGAAAAACAAGTAGTCATTTTAACCAGTTTTTAAATGTAGAAATGATCCCTCGTAAATTGCGGTTTCTACACCACCTCATCCAAGGAGCTTTCTTCAGTTTACTTCATTCATTTGACAACTTTGAGCTTCATTCCTGCCTTATTTTTTTCCTCACAACTACTCTTGAAATGTATCATAAAAATGAGTGTTTATATTGATTGTGTGTTTCCAAGTAAGTTTATTCATTACTAAGAGTTAGGACTTCACGTTTCTTTAACATGGCAGTACATCCAATATCTGTGGTAGAGTTACGCACATTTTACTTCAGAACCATTTATTGACTGATAACCTTTGAAGTTCCAATAAGAGTGTTACTGTGTTCTTCCCCCATCCCAATAGCTACACTCTACCTCACAGAACATCAACCTGGGACCATCTGGAAATCCTCAGTAAGTTTAATTTGTTTCAAAAGTCCTCTAGCTGAATTCTAGGAAGACCTTTTTTTTTTTTTGAATGTGCAGATATGCATCATTATATCAGTTTAACTAGAACCCTGTAAAATACAGTAACCATGGTTAGAGTGAATGTAGTACTGTCATATGCTTACGTACTTTACGACTCTAGCTTTGAGTTGCTGTAACAGACTTCTGAGGATTTGATAAATCCACAAATTATTAATTTGGTTCTGCTGTTTTCCAGTTGTCATTTTTTTGGGATTGGTATGTGTGTGAGATATTTTCAGGGGATCTTACGACCTGGGAGGTACTTGGAGGAGCTCTGACAGAAGTGTCCTTGCAGATCTAACACATTCTCACTGGTGCTCAGTGTTTACTGGTACAACCCTAATTGTCCGCCAGCTTGTTCCAGAGCAGTCATGATGGACATTAGCATATTAAAGCCTATTAAACCTGCTTGAACCGTTCCTCCCACAGTGCCATATTTGTTTGAGCAGGGGGAAAGCATTTTGAGGAATGGCAAATGTAGACTTCGTTTTGAGTGTCAACTCCAGCCGTTCACTAGAAGCGAATGCCTAGACTGCTGAATACAGAGGATCCCTGGGCCCCTTGGTGGTTCGGCTTGAGGAGCGCCCTGACAGATGGGCGGTACCCGCCACGGACAAGGGGTGCAGCGTTGCTGTCCTTACTTGTAATTATTCCTCAGCTTCACTGGATTAACTCTGCAGTAGTCTGGCTTTTATCCTAAGACATTATGCTTCCCTCACCCTTGTCATCCTCTTAGAGAGTAAGGACGGATAAGAAATGGCCCAAGGATTGGGTCCTGGGAGACATCAGCATTGCAGAAAGGCCAGGGAGGAACCAGTAAAGGAGAAAAAAAAAGTTAGTGAAATAGGAGAAAAACCGGGAATGTGATGTCACAAAAACAGTTGAAGAAAGTGTGTCAAGGGGGGAGTAATTAACTCAGTGTTTCTGGTAAAGCAGGTGAGTGTTGAGAATTGACCACTGGGTTTGATAAACCTTTGGTGACCTTTGTGAGCTGTTTCAGAGGTGTGATGGGTACAAACCCTGATAAGAAGGAGTTCCAGAGAGAACTAGGGGAGAGGACAGTGGGAATAGACCGTGAATTTAAACTTTTTACTTGGAGAGTTTTACTGCAAAGGAAAGCAGAGAAATGGAGTGGTAGCTGGAGGGGAGGCTGGTTTTGAGCATGCTTTTCTATCATCGTACACTGAGTTGTTCAGGCGGCACAGAAACAGGCTCGCTCTCAGATTGGGTTCGTCACCAACAGTTAACAGTGGTGCCTTGGGTATGGCCTCAGTTAGCCTATTCACCATGTTTGAAAATTTTGTGTGATTTTTTGCTGTTAGATTTGTTTAAAAAAATTATTTCAGTATTTCAACACATCACTAAAGAACAAAATAGTCCAAAGAGCAGATTCTTGAAGAAGAAAAACACCTGAGCTTAGTTAAGTATTTATCTCCCTAATCTTTACCTGTTACTATTTAACCTATGCCTGGTGTTACTCTCGTGTTCCAATTGGCCATTTATTTCAATAATAAATTAAAGGAAATATAAACCATAATTGGAGTCACTCTTTTCTCTCAAGTCCAGTTTAGGATTCAGACCGTGTAGAAGGAAACCATTTTCTGGCTGCTTAGCCCCACTTTCTGCTGCCATGTGCTTTTGTCTACCTACAGCCAATGTTGTTCTTACATGACACATTAATAGAAACAAAATGACAAGATTAGTATTCCTTTTGATCTCTGTTCTCCTGGATTTTCTGCATTGCCGTCTAGGAGAATAAAAGGAGAATCTGTTATCTGTAATGTGCGATAAGTGATACATGTGCAAAATCTGCATGTGTCAGAAGATTTGCCAAACTAGATAGTCCTTGGAATAAATTACTAATTTATATAGTTACTCAGTTTCCTCGTTAACTACATTGGTGAGGTTTATGGGTAACAGAATTGGTTTAAAGGGAAGCTACATTGAGTTCAAACATTATATAGATATAGATAAATGCTTTTCTCCCAAAGAGACTATCATGGAAATCCTTCTTAAGCAGAACTTAACAAGGCGTAAAGAAAGTTATAAAATGTCTTATCAGAAAGTGGATATTACTACTATTCATTATTACCTATTTTATATTCAGGATGAGGTATACTGCCAGTGTGAAAGCCGGAGTCTTCATGCTAGAGTGTTTTGTGACCAGCATTTACTTATTAAAGAGTGAGGTACTAAGAAATGTTTAAAAGTTAACATCTTTACAATTTCTAAGAGGCTGATTGTTGTCATTGTTCATTTATTTCAGTGCTAAACCAACAGACTTTGATTTCTTAAAAGTTATTGGAAAAGGCAGCTTTGGCAAGGTAAGAGTTTTTATTTTTCCATTCACTAAATAACGACTTGAGGAATGCGTGTCTTACATGCCCCAGGCCCCGGTGCTTGTTGGTATGCAGGGTATGGGGTTGTGATGCTTTCCCTACCTTCACAGTACTTAGGAGATAACGTACCCACTCAAATTTTAACATAAAATTCATTTGTTCAACAAGTATTTGAGCACCTGTGACGTGCCAAGTACCATACTGGCTTCTGGTTAGATGATACTGAACAAAACTTAACAAAGTTACTACCTTTGTGATGCTTACAACCTAGTAAGAGAAGTAGCCAATTAAAAGTACGCAGTCAGGGTGCCTGGGTGGCTGAGTCAGTTAAGTGTCCAGCTCTTGGTTTTGGCTCAAGTCACGATATCATGGTTGGGGAGTTCAAGCCCCATATCAGGCTCCGTACTGACAGCATGGAGCCTGCCTGGGATTCTCATTCTCTCCCTCTCTCCCCACCTCTCCCGGCCCTTCCCCCACACTCTCTCTTTCTCTCTCAAAATAAGCTTTAAAAAACAGTCAAATAGGGGCACCTGGGTGGCTCAGTTGGCCACCCGAAGTCCCAACTTCGGCTCAGGTCATGATCTCACAGTCTGTGATTTGGAGCCCCGCGTCGGGCTCTGTGCTGACAGCTCAGGGCCTGGAGCCTGTTTCAGATTCTGTGTCTCCCTCTCTCTCTGCCCCTCCCCCGCTCGTGCTCTGTCACTCTCTCGCTCTCTCTAAAGTAAATGTTAAAAAAAATTGTTTTTAAAGTCAAATAATTAAAAGCAGTAATGGGACTGTTAAGTAAATGAAGAATAGAGTGAAGTGATAGAGGACAATAGGCAGTGGTGGGAAAATTCCTACTTAGATGGGTCAAGGATGGCTTTTAAAAAAGTTTTTAGTGTTTATTTTTGAAAGAGAGGGAGAGAAAGTGCACAAGAGAGTGGCGCACAGAGAGGGGGAGAGAGAGAATGTCAAGCAGACTCAGTGCTGACAGCACAGGGCTCAAACCCATGAACCATGAGATCATGACCTGAACTGAAATCAAGAGTCAAACACTTAACCAACTGAGCCACCCAGGCATCCCAAGGATGGCTTCTTTAAAGATACGCTATTTAAGCTGAAGCTGAAAGGCCAAAATGAGCAGCTATGAAAATAACCATAGGGGAAGGAGGGGGTGTGAACTCCTGCTCTTCCTCATACAGTGTCAGATGAATCCCTTAACTTGACTGTGTAGCCAAACCAAGGAAGGAGATCTACTTTAAGAAGCATCATAGATGGAGTTAACAGAATCATCAGATATATTTAAGTGCATTTTTGCATTACACTTCAATCTGTAGTGAAAATAAATATGCATGTGTTTAATTATAGTTTGCTACATTCCTAGCTTTCGGTATCTCTAGTTTGTTTTCTGCGTTCCCTAGATACCAGAAACTGTGACCATACAATTAAATCCATGTGTGTTTATTAATTCAGCACATATATTGACCACCCACACATGCTGGACATTGTGCTAGTACAGCAACAGAAAGTTAGGATGGGATAGTGCACTCAAAATGCTCACTCACAGTCTGTTGTGATGTTAAAGATAAGCTGTCATTAAAAGCAATAAGTGTTATCTTTTGGAAACTTGATGTTTAGATCTGGAGTCTACCAGGAATTGGTTCTCGCATATAGTGTGCAGTTACAGGGTCACAGTTCATTTTTTCCCTTATTGATATCGAACTAGTCCCACACAATTTATTGAAAAGATTGTCCTATCCCCCACTGCTCTACAGGGTAACCTTCATCATTTATCCAGTGTCCATCTATGCATGGATATGCTTCTAGATTTTATGTTTTATATTTCTCTTTTGAGATTTTATATTTTGTTCTGTTAGTTTATGTAGTTTGATAGCCAACGAAACAAGTCCTCCCTTCTTGCTCTTTGCATATCTCTTTAATTAGCATGCCAGTTTCCACAAAATTCTGCTGGATTTTGATTGGAATTGCATTGAATCTGTAGATGAATTTGGGAACAGTTGTCATTTTTATTTTTTTTAGTCTTCCAATCCATTAACCATGGATGTCCCTTTCTTAATTTAGTTTATCTTTTATTTTTCTCAATATTGTTTTATAACGTCCTGTAGAGCTTTTACACGTCTTTAATTAGATTTATTCCGATGTGTTTCATTTCTTAATGCTGTTGAAAACTGATGTTAATTATTAAAGCTGTATATATGCATTACCTACGTGACACATTGGTTCTGCTTCTAGCTGTATGTCCAGCAGAAATGCATACACAGATGCACTAAGAAAGGCATATGTCAGAATGTTCATGGTGTTGTTCTTCATAAGCAATCTAAACGTCTGTCATTTAGAGTGTGTTTAATTGTGTAATGCAGTTTTTCACAGAACTAGAACAAATAATCATAAAATTTGTGAGGAACCACAAAAGACCCCAAATAGCTAAAGCAGTTTCGAAAAACTGGAGATATCAACAATCCCAGATTTCAAAATATTCTACAAACCTATAGTCCTCAAAATAGTATGGTAGTGGTACAAAAATAGACCCATAGATCATTGGAACAGAATAGAGAGCCCAGAAATAAACCCACAATTATATGGTCAGTTAATGTTCAACAAAGGAGGCGGGGATATGCACCAGGAGAAAGACAGTGCTTTCAACAAACGGTGCTTGGAAAACTCCAGCAAAAAGAATGAAACTGGACCACGGTTCTTACACCATACACAAAAAGAAACTCAAAATGGATAAAGGTGCTAAATGTGAGACCCGAAACCATAAAAGTTCTAGAATAGTGCACAGGCAGCAGTTTGTCTGACATCAGCCAGAACAGTATTTTTCTAGATATGTCTCCTGAAGCAGGGAAAACAAAAGCAAAAATAAACCATTGAGATCACATCAAAATAAAAAGTTTCTGCACAGCAAAGGAAATAATCAACAAAACCAAAAGACAACCTGCGGAATGAGAGAAGATATTTGCAAATGAAATATTTGATACAGGGTTAATATCCAACATAGATAAGGAATTTGCAGTTCAGCACCAAAAAACCAAATAGTCCAATTAAAAATCGGCAGAAGACATGAACAGACATTTCTCCAAAGAGGACACACAGATGGCTAACAGACGCATGAAAAGATGCCCAACATCATCTATCATCAGGGAAATGCAAATCAAAACCACAATGAGATATCACCGTACAGCTGTCAGAATAACTAAAATCAAAAACACAAGAAACAAGTGTTTGTGAGGATGTGGAGAAAAAGAGCCCTTGTGCACTGTTGGTAGGAACGCAACCTGGTGCAGCCACTGGAAAATAGTATGGAGCTTCCTCAAGAAATTAAAAATAGCACTGCTGTGTGATCCAATAATTCGACCACTGGGTATTTACCCAGAGAATTAAAAACACTAATTTGAAAAGCTACATGCACCCCTCTGTTTATAGTGGCGTTATTTTCAATAGCCAGATTATGGAAAGAAACATACGTGTCCATCAGTAGATGAATGGATAAATATGTGGTTTATATATACAGTGGAATACTACTGAGCTATGAAAAAGAACGAAATCTTGCCATTTATAACAACATGGGGACATCTAGAGAGTGAAATAGGTCAGTCAGAGACAGACAAATACCATGTGATTTCATTCATATATGATATTTAAGAAAGAAAACAAATGAACAAAGAAAACAGACAAACCAAGAAATAGACCCTTAACTGTAGAGAACAAAGTGATAGTTCCTAGAGGGGTGGTTACTGGGGCGATGGGTGAGATAGGTGAAGGGGATTAAGAATACACTTACCATTAAAAAAGTGCACCTATAGTGAGCACTGAGTAATATATAGAATTGTTGCATTACTGTATTATACACCTAAAAGTAATAAAACACTGTATGTTAACTATATTGGAATTAAATTTTTAAAATTAAATAATGCATTATTCTGGACAATCAAAAACAAAAATTATGCTATATGACACAACATGAATGCATATTACATTCTTGAGAGTGAAAGAAGTCAGAGACAACTTTATATGGTTCTAATTACATAAAATTACCAAAAAAGGCAAAACTTAATCTGTGTTATTACGAACTTTGGTAGTTGAGGAAGACAGCAATAAGTAGTTTCTGAAATAGGGGGAAAGGTTAGGCTTCAAGCTACTGATTGTTTTTATTTTTATTTCTTTTTAAAAGTTTTATTTAAATTTCAGTTAACATTCAGTGTAATAATCAGTTTCAGATGTACAATTTATGATTCAGTATTTATATACAACATCTGGTGCTCATCACAAGTGCATTCCTTAATCCGTATCACACATTTAACCCATCCCCCACCCACCTCCCCTCTGATAACTGTCAGTGTCTTCTCTATAGTTAAGAATGTGTTTCTTGGTTTGCCTCTCCCTTTTTTTGCGCTATGATTGTTTATTTTGTTTCTTAAATTCCACATATGAATGAACTCATATGGTATTTGTCTATCTCTGACTTATTCACTCAGCATAAATGTTCTAGCTCCATTCATGTCATTGAAATGGCAAGATTTCATTCTTTTTTTTATGGCTGAATAATATTCTATTGTGTATATATACCATGTCTTCTTTATCCATTCTGTCAATGGACATTTGGGCTTTTTCTATAATTTGGGTATCTTACATAATGCTGCTATAAACATCAGGGTGCATGTATCCCTTCAAATTAATAGTTTTGTATTTTTTGGGTAAATACAAAAATTGACACATTTATCAATGGAATAGAATAGAAAACCCAGAAATGAACCCACAACTGTATGATAATGTTTTCTTTTTTGACCTGGATAGTGGTTACACAGTGTGACTTTATTTTGTAGTAATTTACTGAGCTGTAATGATTTGTGAGTTATTTTATATGTATATTATGTTTAATAAAAATTAAAAGTCTTATAAAATGGATAGAAACCAATAAAGTATAATAAATAAAGGCAAAATAACAAAAAGAAGGAAAAGTAAACAAATGCAAATCCACAGTGTGTCTGAAAAGTAGAAAAAAATATATGATAAACTAAAATAAATAATGGCAACTAAAATTTATTACAAACTCTTCTCCACTGAGTGGTCTTGGTTCTATTTTCCTTTTTTTGTTTGTTTCTTAACTGTCCTCCAAATCTACCAGTCTATTGAAAAAATACTCTTTTAAGGGAATCAGTACCCCTACTTGTCACATTTGAAATATTTTCTTGTGATGTACTTGAAGACGAACCAATCAAAATAGGGAAGGAAAGGTCAGGGAGGTGGGAGATGTTGAGAAAAGGAAAAATGTAAGAAGGAAAGATGTTCAGAGAGTCAAATATTGTAGCAAACAAAAGAATGGAAGATGGGAGAAATGCCAGCAGTTGAACACAGGACATTTTTACCTTGAAGATGTTTGACACTGCCTTGATTAACATTTTTTTAAATCAATAAGCTGTATTTTTAGAACAGTTTAGATTTACTGAAAAATTGAATTAAGAGAAAACACAGAAAGTTCAGAAAATTCCCAAACCATCCTCCACTCCACACATAGTTTCCCTATTATTAATATCTTACATTAGCATGGTACATTTGTTCCAAATTGTGAGGCAATATTGATGCATATTATTAACTAACATCCATTGTTCTTATAGATTTCCTTGCTTTTCACCTAATGGCCCATTTTCGTTCCAGGATCTCATCCGCAACACCACGTTACATTAGGTTGTCATGTCTCCTTAAGCTTCTCTTAGCTGTGACTGTTTCTCAGACTTTCCTTGGTTTGAGGACCTTGATGGTTTTCAGAAGTACTAGTTAGGTATATTGTAAGATTGGAATTTGATACTTTTCTCATGATTAGTCTGGGGTTATAAGCGTTAGTGAGGTTGACCCCACAGGGACTAGAATATAAGGTCCAGCAGTGTCCTTACTTGCTTTGTCAGATAAGCTTTGGAACATACCCCATTTAATAGTTACACAGCTTGCTGAACATCTTGAATCCCTTAAAATTATTTTAAAGGCCCTAAGTCTGTTACTTTTTTTTCTGGAGTAAGAGTCTCTAAGTTTCTTCACATCTTCGAAAGTGCATGCAACCCACCCAGTAAAGTAGCGTATAGAAACTCGGCCATACTTGGTGCTTCTTCCTCCGAATGCTTCTGAATTTGAGACTTATGAGAGAAACCTAAATGTTAAAACAGAAAGGCACTCTGATCACATAGCAACCATTTCCTTCTTTTTTTTTTTTTTTAATGTATCCATGAAGTTTATACCCTCAGTATTTTCACTTTTTAGGACGCAGGGCTGATGCATACACGTGTGTACGTGCACACACACTCTTGAGGATCTCAAGCTGTTTAGTTTTGGGGACTTAAATTTCGTAAAACTCTTGACCATCGGCACATTAAGTGACAAAGAAATGGTACCTGGCTATTCAAGTGATTAATATTTTTAATATGAGAAGTGAAACAAATAAATTCAGTAGTTTTCGGTTTTCAAAACTAAAACATTATATAATGTAGGTCCCTTGTAGATTTTCTTTGTACATAATTTATGAATTTATTGACAAGTGAATTATTTCTATCTAAATACTGAAATTTCTAATAGTATGCACAATCTTTAACTACAACAGGTTCTCCTTGCAAAACGGAAACTGGATGGAAAATTTTATGCTGTCAAAGTGTTACAGAAAAAAATAGTTCTCAACAGAAAAGAGGTAAAATAAAATAGCATTGTTTCTCTTAAATCCATTTCCTCAAATAACAAGTGTTTTCTGGCATACAATGCAAGTTGATCCTTTACTTTTTTTTTTTTCCCTACAGCAAAAACATATTATGGCTGAACGTAATGTGCTTTTGAAAAATGTGAAACATCCATTTTTGGTTGGATTACATTATTCTTTCCAAACAACTGAAAAGCTTTATTTTGTTCTGGATTTTGTTAATGGAGGGGAGGTGAGTTGTATAATTAGTTTTCTTTTCTTTTTTTAAAGTTTTTATTTATTCAGGTAATGTCTACACCCAGTGTGGCTTTCTCTTCTGGCCCAGCCAGCCAGGCACCCCTATGATTCGTTTTCTTGGGTTGGTGATGCTTAGAAAAAAGTAGGATGAGGTCACACTTTCTTCACTTACCAGGTTTCGGAAGGACAGGCCAGCGTTAGCAGCCGTTATAGTCGGGATTCTGGCTCATAGGCACAAAGCAGGGCAATGGAGAATTGTAAACAGAGCTTCTTTCTTCAACCCCTTATGGGGTAGGTGGGAAGATTCGTTGATTCATTAAAGAACCTTGGTGTGAAGCTACAGACTTCACAGATACTATAGCGAGAATCATATACTGAAACATGAGAATAAAACATGATTTGCATTTAGATGATTATTGTCTCCACAGTTGTATTTTGAAGATTACTCTAGCCTGTCATTTTCTAAAACGTGCAAACTATAATCAGATGAGGTGATCCTCTAATAAAGAGTTCTGTGGTGAAGTCAGTGGAAAACGCTTCGTGTTCTGGCCCATTGGCAATTAACAATTATGTTTCTTGGTGACTCACAATATGTTTCAACCTGTTAAAGATTTTGAGTTCTGCCTAAAAGAAAGCAAAGATTTCTTCGAAAATATTTTCTTACCATGTAGTCCATTTTTGTTTGAACCAAATCTATCAATAATATCCCCAAAACTCTGCATCAGAGGGATATTGAAACACTGGAAATGCTACTATCACGATGAGAATTACAGTAATAGCTAACATCAATCAAGTGTATGTACTAATGTGCCCAGCATTCTGGCTCTTTGTAGGTATTATTTTATCTTCACAACAATCCTGTTATATAAGATGAAGAAACTGAGGCACAGAGAAGATAGGTAACTTGCTCAGGTCATGTGGTTAGTAAGTATTAGAGCCAGGAATTACACTCAGGCAGTGTGATTCCAGGATTTAGGCAGCGGACCACCCCCTGTTCCTCTGTTTCTCAGCCCCCACACCTTTCTAATTTGATGTCTGACCTGTGAATGTCTCTAAAAATTATTCTGGTAGACAGTGTCATACCTTTACAAAGGGATCTTTCATCCTCTAGTCCCAGAGCAGAAAGAGAGGAAAATAATTATTTCAGCCTTAGGATAGTACACTTAGCTATAGAATAAAGGAATTAGAAGGAAGACTACTATCTATTCTGCAAACCTGAAAGATGATCAGACATACCTAGATCATTTTGGGTTTTGTTTTTTGGGTTGTTGTTGTTTTCTTTTTTTTTAAAGATTTTTTTAAAGTAATCTGTACACCCAACATGGGCTTGAACTCACAACCCCAAGATCAAGCATCACACACTCTACTGACTGAGCCAGCCAGGTGCCCTATCCCTGGATCATCTGGGGGGGGAAGATCATAAAAGAATCATTACTCAACCCCCTACATCCACGACAGAAGTGCCATATGCGTCCTCAGTGTAGAAGCAAGACTATGAAAGTCGAAGATTTGAAGGTTTCCTGTTGTTATTGCTAGTGTTGTCCCCTGATTCTCATACTTAACATTTTAACCTAGATGTGTGATACTCACTTTTGCTTGCTACTTCACATCTGTTTTGGAGCCAGGTAGAGTATAAAGAAGTAAGTTTTATGACATTAGGGATACAAACAGGCCTTCCTGAGCCTCAGCTTCCTCGTTAATTTTCTATCTCAAAATAGTTGGGTGGATTAAATAATACAAGTGTATAAAGTCCTTAGCATACTGCCTTTGATTTAGTAAATAGTCAGTGTTAGCTATCATTAGTGAATGGTCAGTTTTTCATTTTAGGTAATTTTAATTACTGTTATATTAGGTGTGATCAAATCAATAAATAGAATATTGTAATAGTATAAGCCACAGCTAACAAAGGCAGCAGTAGGACTAAATAGGAGGGAGTATTCCATAAATAATTAAAAGATAAAAACAGAAGAATGTATTAATTAGTTAGATATAGAAGCTACGGGTAAAGGAGCAGGCCAGGTAAGTCCCGGGCCAGCCTCCACATATCTCCTCTGTCAGGATCTGTTGTAACTGATCTTCACCATAACCTTTCAGAAGAGGTTAAGAAAAATTGGGAGACAATTTTTATTAAGTCAGAGAAGGAGAAGGAGAACTAATTAATTGCACACAAAAGGAGAAGATTTGAATCCAAGTCTGATCAGCTTTAAAACCTGACTCTTCTGACTGTTTGTACCCTGTGCCTTGCGTGGCTTGGAGAGCTGGATGCAAAGTGATGTCGTGAAAGGGGTCGAATCCTGCAGCAGCAGTGAGTTGGTGAAAGAGGACGAGGGACTCTGTTCTAGACAAGTTCGAGCCTGTTGGCTTGTGAAATACTCAAGAAAGAACAGCAGGCGGCAGGTGTTTGTCGGAGAAGCTCTACGCAGAGGTGTCGGTGGGGTATGGCCACGTGAAAGACCTCAGCAGAGAGGGTGGTAGTTAGAATCACGGGGTGGATTAGGTCACCTGGGCAGGGAGGGCATCCCGGGAAGGGATAACTGGAGAGCAGAGAGGGTGAAACCCTCGTTACCCCTGCAGAGTAAGGGCCGGAAAGGAGCAGACACGGAACCCTCCAAGGAAGAAGACCTAAGGCAAGATCAGTATTTTAAAAGCCAGGGAACTTAGAGGAAGGACCTAGGGCAAATTTCACCCAGGCAGGTAACCTAATCAGCAAATTCAGATTGTAAGTAAGGAACCAGAATTCAGAAGTAAGCGTAAGAACAGCTGCAGAGTCCAGCTGCTCCTCAGTTCCCACCGTTTGCTCCCACATTGGAATTTAGGCTTAAATGTCGCAGTTTCCTTTTTTCCCCCATAAGAAACCAAAACTATGAGTTTTTATCCCACAATAATTTCTCCGTTTTTAAATGTTACCAGTTAATTGAGATTTTTCTAAAAACAGTAGTTGGCTCAAACAGATGAGATCTGTGGGTTATATTTGGTCTACCAGCCGCTTGTTTTCAGTCTCTGAATAGGGTTTGAATTTTTTTTTTTTCCAAATGAAAGCACAGTCAAGAAAGGTCTGGCGAGATAATCACAAGGCTGTGGTCTTTGTTGATCATCTTTTCCAGAGTGAGAAGGACACTGCCGCATTGAGGACTGAGGAGTAAATGAGGGATGAGCAAGTTAGCGAGAGTAACTCGATGCATGGGTCAAGAGAGAATAATCGCCAGGTGTGGAACACAGATGGGGAGAGTCAAGGTTCTGGGCTTTGGCACATTTTTATCTCATGTTCAGAATAACAGAAATCATATTTTTGTATTTTAGGATATATTTCTTTCACTTTATGTGCAAATGATCTTAATATCCTCCCCCCCCCCCCCATTTTACAGCTGTTTTTCCACTTACAGAGAGAACGGTCCTTTCCTGAACATAGAGCTAGGTTTTATGCTGCTGAAATTGCCAGTGCATTGGGTTACTTGCACTCCATCAAAATCGTGTACAGGTGAATTTTAATAATTTCTTGTAAAAATGTCATTTTATTACTTTATTTGAGTCAATATCCAGTTTTGCTTTTCTTTCCTTTTAATTCAATAGAGACTTGAAACCAGAAAATATTCTTCTGGATTCAGTAGTAAGTATTTTTAAAAATCTACTAATTCTCAATTTTGTCATTTATGCTTAGTGGGAAAAAATCAATCTCAAAGGCTCCACACTGCATGATTCCATTTACATAACGTTCTCAGAATGACAAAAGTATAGAGATGGAAAACAGATTAATGGTTGTAAGGTGACCGGGACAGAGGGGAAAGCAGAGTGAAAAGATAAAGGGGTGGCCTGAGTGAGTTCTTTTGTTCCTTTGGGATGACGGACAGTTCTCTCTCTTGATTGTGGTGATAGTTCCACAGATCTGCACTTCTCTATTGCATAGAGCCGCACACATACACCCAAATGCACCTAAAAAAAGTGAAAACTATTAAAGTTGGTAGTCTGGTTAACAGTATTCTACCAATGTCCCTTTCCTGGTTTTGATATTTTACTGTAGTTATTTAAGAGACCAGTATTGGGGAAGCTGGGTGAAGGGTACACAAAACTCTGTTTAATAGTTTTGCAGTTTCCTGTGGGTCCTCAATTATTTTAAAGTGAAATGGTTTTAAACCTTGTGAGTTTATGCTGCTGCACTGTTTTATCTTACTGCCCTGTATTTTCAGGGACATGTTGTCTTAACGGATTTTGGGCTTTGTAAAGAAGGAATCGCTATTTCTGACACGACAGCAACGTTCTGTGGGACACCAGAGGTAAGGAGTGTGTCTCATTTGTCATTTATATAATTCCTGTGTAAAATGCAAAAATGAATCACAAATTGCATGTATAATATTTGAAATAAGAAAAGTAGAAAATTTTCTGCTTTCTACTGAAGTAGAATTTCAGCTTCTAACCACTTGGAACTATGTGATAATCACCCCCTTGAGAACATTTAGAGTTTACTGATAGTATTTTTAATTGTGATTGTGAGCTATCACAGATAACCCAACAAAGATATACATTATACTTACAGTGTTAAAAGTTTACCATATCCTTTATTTTTAAAAAAATCACAAATCAGCAGTGAAAAGGTCATAAAATTATGGTAATGTTTACACTATTCTAAATGTAATAATAGCCATTGAATTATACTAAGTGTTCATTTAACAGAAGAAAGTAAAGTAGTGGATATGGAGGGAAAAAATGGCAAATCAGAATTAATCAAAACATCTCATTCTCTAACCATGTTAGCTAGCAGAAAAATGTATCCTACTATTTTAGACAATAATAATAATCCTTACAAGTTATGTAAAAGCTTTGTTATTCTCACTACACACACACACACACACATACATGTACATTTAGCCTATTTTAAACTATTCTAATTTTAATGTGTTTATGGTGATCTTAGATGCCAGGTAGTATTTCATCTTTATCATAGAGTAATTGCGAATATCATATTGCAATGTGTGATAAAGTGGCTCACATGAAACTTTTAATCAGGATCAGAAAAAATTTTTTTAATTAAAAGTGAAAGTACTTAGAAATTTTTTTTTCTTTTTTCCTTTAATCTAACCCTAGCTCTGTGTATATTTGTAATCATTCTGATTTGGTTTCTGTATGAAGAAACATTTTTTTGTGTGTGAATGTATGTTGATTTCATAGTTAACAAAATCTTTAAGTCCTGTAATTTTTAGAAAGGAAATATAAATTTCATGGTCATCTACATCTAAATGTAGTTAGAAATTACTAAACCCTTTTTGTATATTTTGCCATTTCTTTGGATCACATTTTAAAAAAAAGCTTAACTCCTTATTTCATATGGGAAGAGAAAATATATATCTTGGAATCTAGAATTCAAATTCACCATTTTATATGTGTGAAACTGTGATGAGTTTAAATGTTTTGCAAATTAAAATGTGCCTAGCCATCCAATAACTCAACACAACTTTTCTGAATAATTATATTAGAGAATTGCTAATGTAATTCTCTAGTAAAAATTAGAGAATTCTTTTTTCTTTAACTGAAGGGAAAATACATTCTAATTGCTACATTAAAAATTCTTGTTTAAAGAGAAACAATTATGAGTAATGACTAGAGGAATTTCTAACATAAATTTCTTGTGAAAGACTCCCCCCTCCCCTCCAGCCCAATACCTAGTTTACATAGTATTATAGATTTCTACCTTTGTTCTCATCTTCTCTTTACTTTAATTGCATCACAGTTTGGGGGGATAAGTGCTTGAGTATATGTATTTTGAAAAATGTCCCAGATGATTCTGAAGAGTATTATCACCTTAGAACCACTCCTATAGGATGAGAATACCTAACCAATTAAAAATCTAGATAATAGGTTTTTAGTGTCATAGTAACATCTAAAATTTTTTAAATTTCTTAATTATTCCTAAATTTTATCATGAGTTGTTTATGGAGTTGCTCTAATATTTAATGTTTTCCATAGTACCTTGCTCCTGAAGTAATCAGAAAACAGCCCTATGACAATACTGTAGATTGGTGGTGCCTTGGTGCTGTTCTCTATGAAATGCTGTATGGATTGGTATGTATTTCTGCTGTTTCATTATTATTCCAGTATATTTTAAATCTTTTTTTTTTTTTTTTTTTTTTTAAATTTTTTTTTTAATGTTTTATTTATTTCCAGGAGAGAGAGAGAGAGACAGCGTGAGCAGGGGAGGGTCAGAGAGAGAGGGAGATACAGACTCTGAAACAGGCTCCAGGCTCTGAGCTGGCAGTCAGCACAGAGCCCGACGCGGGGCTCGAACCCACGAACCGCGAGATCATGACCTAAGCGAAAGTCGGATGCTTAACCGACTAAGCCACCCAGGCGCCCCCAGTATATTTTAAATCTTTGAGTGTTGACCCTCTTTTTTAATAATCTGGAGGACTCTTAGTAAACACTAATAGAGCAGTAGTAAGCTGGTTAAATGAGCCCAAAATCACATTAGGGCTATGTAAACACACACACACACACACACACACACACAAAACCTTTTCCTTTGTTACTGGTCTTTTAATGTAATTTCTTCTGTCATAATAATCACTACTTATACTAATCAGGTCTTCTCATCCCACTTGGATTTTTTAGAAATAGACACTAGTTAAAATTATTTAATTTTAATTTAATAAAAAATATTATCCACTTTCATTCAATTTACCCCAGTCATCATTCCACCCAATTTCAAAGAGATGGAAAGAAAAATGTTTTTGTATTTATCAGAAGATAATATCTTTTGGGTTTTGCCTTATATTTTATTTTTATAGGATATAATACACTGGTGCTCCACTTTTTCCACCATTGGGAACTTTCTATTGCCTTTACCGTAAACACCATGTCAAGATTTTTTTTAAAAAGGGGGTGTTTGCTATGGAAATCAATTGCCCCAGTTTTTAATTAAAGACACATAGGCCAACCAGAGCTTCTAATTAACATGTGTAAAGTTGTACCAAATTAATATCATTCCAAACAAGAGCAAACAATTTAGGCAATCAGTTTACATTTTCTTCTAGAAACAACACATGTTTTTCTTTATGCTTTTTGAGATATTTAGATTCTAGAGTCTTTCTGTGATACCCCTGAGTGCCCAGCAACCTCATGCTGGGAACCATGCACTCATCTCCTATGCTGCTGCCCACACAGAGCTAAATACTACCATCAGCTGAGACCTGAACTGGGGCTTGGTTTTGTTTGTTTGTTTTGCTTGTTTTGTGTGGGCTTCCGCCCCCCTGAAGCTCTCCGTGAAATCTAACACGTGAGGTAAATGTTAGAGCATTTGTCTCATGTTGCTAACTTTGAATGTTAGATTCCTATGACAACCAACACTGTCTTTGCACTTGCTTATTAAAAAATTTAATTTTCTGATCATGCTGCTGACTTGGAATACCTCATATGCCTTACTTTAAGTTCTGGATATTTGCCATCCTGATATTTCTGAATCAAGGACTATGAAAGTAAAATTTTATCATTGAACATAAAATGCAATTGATTCAAAAGGGAACATTTGAAACATATTACATTAATGAGACTTTATTAACTATTTAAAACTGAAGTTCGAAGGTGACTCGGTTAAGCATCTAATTCTTGATTTTGGGTCAGGTTATGATCTTACGGTCATGAGATTAAGCCCTGTGTGGAGCTCCGTGCTGAGTGTGGAGCCTGCTTGGGGTTCTCTCTCTCTCTCTCTCTCTCTGCCCCTCCCCAGCTCACTTGCATGCTCTAGCTTGCTCACTCTCTCTCTCAAAATCTTTAAAAAGAATTTTTAAATAGAAAAATGAAAAAATGAATTTCAGTTTTAAAAAGTAAAAAAATGTTACCAGGTGCCTGGGTGGCTCAGTTGGTTGAGCATCCGACTTCTGCTCAGGTCATGATCTCACAACTTGTGGGTTTGAGCCCCGCTTCAGGCTCTGTGCTGACAGCTCAGAGCCCTGGAGCCGCTTCAGATTCTGTGTCTCCCTCTCTCTCTCTCTGCCCCTCCCCTGCTGCTGCTCTCTCTCTCTCTCTCGCTTGCTCTCTCTCTCTCTCAAAAATAAATAAACCTTTAAAAAATGTAAAAAGTAAAAACATTTTTATTTCCTATAAGGAAGCAACAAACCTATAACTCCCTTAACTTTAGAAATTATTTTTAGGGGCACCTGGGTGGCTCAGTCGGTTAAGCATCCGACTTCAGCTCAGGTCGTGATACCGCAGTTCGTGAGTTCAAGCCTTGTGTCGGGCTCTGTGCCTCCCTTTGTTTCTGCCTCTCTCCTGCACTCTCTCTCTCTTTCTCTCTCTTTCAAAAATAAATAAACTAAAAAAATTTTTTTAAATTATTTTCAGTTTAAAACTTAATGATTAACTGGCTAGTCCTCATGTTGAAGCTATGTAGGTCTTTAGGCTGTCGCGGTAGAACTGTAAGTCTGCAGAGCGCACCCATAACACTGCCGTTGGCTCACGTCTGTCGGAAGGAGCACTATCTTTAGGTCGTCTTCTCTACTAGCAACCTTTGTTTTAATTAGTTTATTTTCACGTCTCAAGAAATTATTTAATGTTTGATCTGTGTTGAATCTCTGTTTGCAAGAATTCTGTCATTGTGCTTCTGATGAGATTGCTGGTTTTCTCTCAAACAGATACTTTTACACAGTTTACACCTGTCTGCATGGTGTTCTTAAACGTTCAGTGAGCACGTTGCTCTACATGATGCTGGCTCTAAAACATTTTTTAATGTTTATATATTTTTGAGAGACAGAGAGAGACCAAACGTGAGCAGGAGAGGAACAGAGAGAGAGGGAGACACAGAATCCGAAGCAGGCTCCAGGCTCTGAGCTGTCAGCACAGAGCCCAGTGCGGGACTAGCTCGTGAACCATGAGATCATGACCTGAGTTGAAGTCAGATGCTCAACCGACTCTTGATTTCGGCTCAGGTCATGAACAAGCCCCACATCTGGTGCAGTGCAGAGCCTGCTTGGGATTCTCCCTCTCTCTCTCTCTCTTTCTCTCTCTCCCTCCCTCCCTCCCTCCCCCCCTTCCCTGCCCCTCCCCTGCTTATGCTCTCACTCATGCGCTCACATGCTCTCTCTCTCTTTCTAAGATAAATAAAAAAATAAAAACCTCTTTGCATTGGAGACTACACTGCAGATTACACGTGCCCACAGAGGCCTTTGCATTTCTGCAGCGATCCAGACCCAGGCTGATCCCTGTAGATCAAGGCCAAGTACAACTCTTTGAACCCCATTTCAGTGTAGTTCAATCAACACTAACTTTTGGGGCACCTAGGTGACTTAGTTGGTTAGGTGTCCAACTTTGACTCAGATCATAATCTCATGGTTCATGAGTTCGAGCCCTGCATAGAGCCCTGTGTCAGGCTCTGCAATGCACGAACACTGCTGCAGATACTGTCTCCTCCCTCTCTGCCCCACCCCCCTTGCACTCTGTCTCTAAAAAGTAAGTATTTAAAAAATAAAACACTGAGTGTTTGAGTGGCTCAGTCATTTAAGTGTCTGACTTCAGCTCAGGTCATGATCTCATTGTTCATGGGTTCAAGCCCCGCATGGATCTCTGTGCTGACAGTGTGGAGCCTGCTCGGGAGTCTCTCTCCATCCTTCTCTCTTTGCTCCTCACCTGCTTGCTCGCTTACTCGCTTGCTCGCTCTCTCTCTCTCTCTCTCTCTCTGAAAATAAATAAATAAATGTTAAAAATAATTTTAGAAAACGTTAACTTTTCTTCCTTTTTGTTTTTCCCAGCCTCCTTTTTATTGCCGAGATGTAGCTGAAATGTATGACAATATTCTTCACAAGCCCCTAAGTTTGAGGCCAGGAGTGAGCCTCACAGCCTGGTCCATTCTGGAAGAACTGCTGGAGAAAGACAGGCAAAATCGACTCGGTGCCAAAGAAGACTTTGTATGTACATCCTTTCCAGTACCGCTTTATTTAAGCTTATTTGAGATTTGAAGATAGATTCTTATTTTATGTGGCATTTAACGGGATGAATACAACTCTTAAATAGCACCGTGAAAAAAGTATGTGTCCCAGCAGTTTTTACCAGTGTTTATACTGCGTGAAGCACTTGCATGGATGTTTTTTTCATTTTATATTTATGACAGTTTTAGCCTCTTCACTTAATTCCTCACATCCTGCTTTCATACCCTATTTTAAAAATTTTTTATTTTATTTTAGAGCACAAGTGGGGAGAGTGGTGGAGAGAGAGAGAAAGAATCTTAAGCCAGCTCCACACTCAGCGTGGAGCCTAGTGTAGGGCTTGATCCCACGAACTGTGAGCTGAAATCAGGAGTCAGGAGTCAGACACTCAGCCAACTGAGCCACCCAGACACCTTTCATACCCTTTTGCTTACTTTATTTTCATTTATAAGAAATTTCCCTCCCTTTGTAAAAAATGTGTGGCATGAATTTTTTGATTACCTAAACTTTTAAATCATTTTATTGAACAAGAATTTGCTAAATTTATTAAGTTGCTCCTGTTTGCATGAGGTGTAGTGCCTTTTGCCTTAAACTAACAGTAAATAACTTTTTTTTCCGAGAATTTGGTGACACCTCTCTGAGGTAATTAGAGAATCTGCAGGTTCGTTTTTTTAAAAATCCGGGCAATTAGGGACACCTGGCTGGCTCAGTTGGTGTAGTGTGGGACTCTCGATCTTGAGGTTGTGGGTTTGAGCCCCATCTTGGGTGTAGAGACTACTTAAAAATAAAAAATCTCTTTAAAAAATCAGTGTAATTAAATTGCTTATGTAGCTATTAGTGTTACGTTGGTGTGTCACTAAATTCACGGAACTACTGAGGATCGTGAACTTTTAAATTCATTTAAGTTTCTCACAAATTCTTGGGGACTCTTTGTCAGTCGTGAACTTGAACTGTGAGTAACGAACTTGTCTGCTAGTGCTTTTCCTTTCCCACACTTCCCAGTTTGGTAAGTAGCTCTGTCAGCGGTTTCCTGCCTGGCTTGGATTCATTCCATAGTCCATTGGTTTCATTCAGTCTTGCTGTCACTTCACTTCTTCTTGCCCCTTGGGCCTTTTATGGAATTCACTGACAGAAATCACAGCCCTGGATGAATCCACTTGTTACCTTCTGGGCTGCTGAATCGTGCTGAAGAAAGTGCAGCACCGGGCATATTGGAAGCGCTGTGAAGGCATAGTCATTAATCTCCTTTGTGCTTCCTCGCTGCCGGTAGTGTTCCTGTGATTCTCTAGCTGCTTCTCCTAGTCTCTGAATGAATGATTTCAGACCTTCTCTCCAGATTTCCAGACTCCTTTTCTTCTTTACTTTTAGCAGATGATCTTGCCTTCTATTTTATAAGGAAAATAGAATCAGCAGAGTAGAACTCACTCAGCCTTGCTATCAGATTTGCAGACCTGCACACACCTGCTTGCTGTTCTTTCCTTCTTCCTAATAAAGTGGAAAAGGCCAGTTTCTACATCTGCACTGGATCCTGACTCCTTGCAGGGAACCCTGTGCATGTTTTTTTTCTGCACAGATAACTGCTTCCTTTTGTTAGGGTTCCTTCCAGGGAATAATTAAGCATTATCATGTCTCTTGGCTTCTTAAACTGAAATTAGCCGTCAACCATGCTGACCTGCAGGTAATAACTTCTTCCCCTTGTAAAAGTTTGTGTTCATTTTTTTTCTTTCCCAGTCTCTTCTCATTTCTCAGTTTACCAAAAGTAGCTACTAGAATTGCTAAATCGCTCTATTCTTCAGCTTGCCCTCTCAGCAGCATTTAAACTTCCAACTCTTTCTTGTTCGATAGGCTTCTGCAAGAGCCCACAATCATCTTGTTCTGTTTTTCCGGGCCTTCCTCTGTCGTGTCCTGTGTGAGCTACTTTCTTCAACCTGATGGTTAAATGTTGTGGTTCCTTGGGATTGGCCTAAACCTTTTCTTCTTCTGTGTTCTCTTTCTGGACAGTCTCAGTTGGCCCAATGGCTTTGGTTATCTCTATGCTTTCATCTCACACATTTATAACTTCATTCCAGACCTTTCTTCTTAACTCTGGACTCATATTATCTGCCTGTTCAGCACCAGTCTTTGGACTCTGAAGATCACCTTAAACACAGCATGTTCAAGACCGAACTCCTTCTGTGTCTACCTTCTGTGTGCCTCAGGTCGGAAATCTGAGTCGGTCCTTCCTCTTCCTCACCTCCATTTTCAGCAGACAGCCAGAGCCTGTTGTATTTGTCTCCTAAGTCCTTCCCTTACCTACACACTCTGCTACTCCATTGTGACTACACTTTTCTTTCTTCTTTCAGCTTTTTTAAAACTTTTAATTTTAAGTAACCTCTGCATCCAACTTGCTCCCCAGACCCACACTCCTGAGACCAGGAGTTGCACACCCCACCACCTGACCCAGCCGGGTACCCCTGATACTTTCAGCACTTTTTTGGCCACAACAATAGCTCTGTTTCTTTAATCTGGGCATGGCTTTCCCGCCCATGTCCCTATTACAGTCAGATCCGAAAAAACAAACCAAAGATCCCCCATATTTGTGCTATTCCCTTACCTAAAATTTCCCGATGGCTTCTCATAATCTTAGAATAAAATCCAAAATTCTTAACATAGACTCAATATGATACGGCAGTGTACCTCTTAGGCTTCACCTTGTGTGACAGTCCCAATCCTTCCCTGTATTTTAAGTTTATCTATTTTGAGAGAGAGCGAGAGAGAGCACCTACATGCATGCACTTACAAGCAGGGGAGGGACAGAGAGAGGAAGAGGGAGAATCCCAAGCAGGCTCTGTGCTGTCAGCTAAGAGCCCGATGTAGGGCTCACTCACGAGTTGTGAGATTATGTTCTGAGCTAAAACCAGGAGTTAGACACTTAGCCGACTGAGCCCCGCACGTGCCCCTTGGCTCATTTTCTTCATCAGACTAACTAACCTCTTTGCCACCTCAGGGCCTTCATATTCTGCCTGGAATGTTCTCCCCCTCATTTTTATCTAATTTTTATCATCTTTCAAACTTCCGATCAAACATTACTTAGTCTCCAAGATGTCTTTTTAAACCCACCAAATTAGGTTGGATCCTCCTTTATACACTTCTGTGTCACCTTGCAGGGAAAATAACTGGAATCAGTATCGTGCCAACTTTTAATAATACTAACCCAGAATGGAATTTTGTTTTGTTCTGGTAAAATAGCTCGTCGTCTTGATTTTACCTCTGCCCCACCATGTAAAAAACCTTTTTGCCTAACTTCTTTTTTACCTCCACCATGCAGATAATAATTACAGTTCTTTGTAGCTCTGTAGGACCTTATTCTTTTCATATCTCTCTTAATTTCCATATTTCCTACTGGTGCTTAAAACAGCCTGTGAATATCTAGGACAGAACTGTTAACTCCATTCTACCTGTGAAGAAACTATGACTGTGAAGAGGGTATAACTTAGGTTGGTCATTCCGCGTGGCTGTCTTTCCCGTTCTGCCCTGACAGGGTCTCCACTGTACCGTTTTGCCGCATAACAAACACGTTATAACATAAACATGTACTAAAAACAATTATTGAGGGACAGAGTGGTAATGGTTTGCCTTCGTGTAATTCTTCAGTGAGTGCTTAATTATATTTTTCAACATTATAAAAAATACATGTATTTTCTTTAACATTCCAGCTTGAAATTCAGAATCATCCTTTTTTTGAATCACTCAGCTGGACTGATCTTGTACAAAAGAGGATTCCACCACCATTTAATCCTAATGTGGTAAGTATATATCTAAATCTTGCTTTCTAAAATAGTAAAATGAAAATTTTTTTTTAAAAATCGTGAAATGTAGAACTATATAGGTCATCATAACTTTAGCAATAGATCTCAAAATCTAATGTGAGTGAAATTGACTCAGTACCTAAATATTTGAAAAATCTGCCTCGCAGCATTTTCTAGTATACAGTTAACTTCAAGATGACCAGTAAGATTATACTTTTGTTACATTGGTAAAAGTACCTTCTAGCACAGCAATTGTGCAGTGTTTCTTTGGAGCATGTATGTATAAGAAAGAGATGAGCTTATTAGATTTTAAAAAAAGATGCAAATTGGGGCACCTGGGTGGCTTAGTCTGTTAAAGCTCCAACTCTTGATTTTGGCTCAGGTCATGATCTTAGGGACATGCGATCGAGCCCCACATTGGGCTCCATGCTTAAGATTCTCTCTCTGTCCCTGTGCTCCTCTCCCCTGCCTCATGCTCTCTCTTAAAAATAAAAAAAAAAATTAAAAATTGTAAAGGCATACCTCTAGATTTAAAGAGGATTGCGCTTTAAATTTTTTTAAATTTTTAAGTAACATTAATGCATCTTTTTTTCTACATTTATATAAAACCAGACACAGGCAAATATTATTAATGGTAATGTAAATTGTCATATCCCTTTTTGGAAAATAAAATTTTCATTTAGCTTGACTTGTTAAATCACCTGATGGAAAAAATTTATGTAAACATTTTTAATAATTATCAGTAGTAGACCAATATTACTAACTATTGATAGCTATATGTATATAGGCATATATACTTTTATTCATTACAATATGAAATTTATTCCCCATACTAACCAGGTTACTACCATTACTATCCTTATTATATATGTTTTATAAATGAAGAAATAGAAAGTCAGAGATGCCACCGCCTAGCTGGATTAAAAAGTAGCAGAGCAAGGATTCAAATCTGTGCCTTATTCCAAAATCACTAGACTTTCTATGCTTACTTGTGCTCAAGTGCCTTTTCTTGTTAAGTAAATGATAATAATAAATATAGAAATAAGCAGGGGGCACCTGGGTGGCTCGGTAGGTTGAACATCCAACTTCGGCTCATGTCATAACCTCACGTGAGTTTGAAGCCCACATCAGGCTTGCTGCTGTTAGCGCAGAGCCTGCTTCGGATCCTCTGTCCCCCCCCACCCCGCCCTTTCCCCACTGGTTCTCTCTCTCTCTCTCTAGATCTCTGTCTCTCTCAACTCCCTCTCTCAAAAATAAATATTTTTTAAAATGAGTAGTCACTTAGAAAATTCTTATAATATTAAATAAAAACATGGCAATTTGGGGGCTCCTGGATAGCTTAGTCAGTTAAGTCTCTGACTCTTCATCTCGGCTCAGGTCATGATCTCACAGTTTGTGAGTTCGAGCCCCACGTCAGGCTCTGCACTAATAACATGGAACCTGCTTGGAATTCTTTCTTCCTCTCTCTTTGCCCCTACCCAACTTGTGCGCTCTCTCTCTCTCAAAATAAATGAACTTTAAAAAAATGGCAATTATAATTTTTGTGACTTATGATTATAGCAGTAAAAATAACAGATAAGGACTGGAAGAGAATATAACGTAAACCAAGATTGATTGGGGATTGCAGTATCTTGGGTCAACTTGTGTTTCTTTTATTTAAAGATTTTTGGTGTAGTGAAATTCATGAAATACTTTCTTAGTAGATAAGTGCAGGATAAGGAAATAGCTTTAGGAAAGTGTTATTTAGTCTACTCAGATTTTGTTAAATGTTTGTTTCAGTGCATAGCTCATGGCTGGTAATATTTAACAGGTGTGATATTGTACACCTATTAACATAATGATATTATAGATTCCCTAATTTCATTTTGGTTTATCCAGAAGTGACTATTTCAGAAGTGACTCCATTAAGGACAGTTTCTGTTCCTAATTTCTAGAGTTTACTTTGCAGTAAGAACCTAGGGCCTTTAAGAATTATTTTATTTTTCTTTTTATATTAAAAGTCTTAGTTTAGTTATGTTCAAATAAATATGTCATCAGGCACATTAACTGGAAATGAAAACAGTGTTGACTTCAGAGTTAGATACCTCAGTTGGGATCCCTGCTTTTTTATGACTAGTAAACTTTTTAAAGCAAGATCCACAACTAAGAAGCCACGGGGGGTGGGGGGGGCGGTTGGTAAATTTGGCCAGCTTAAATCTAGACATGTCTACATGAAAAAAACTGCAAATAATAAACTGGGGAAAATTTCTCTAACACATAAAGTATTCTTGTAAGTCAATGAGAAAAAAAAAACAATGACCAATAGAAACATGGACAAAAGACACAAAATACAGTTACAGAAGAATAAGTACAGATAGCTTTTAAATATATGAAAAGATGTTCAAACTCAGGTTACCATTTTTCATTTAACAGATTAACAAAGATCAGAAAGCTAGAGTATAATAAAGTAGATATTCTCAATACTTACATCCTTTTATTTAACCTTGACAGCAATTCTTTGAACTAGTGCTGCTATTTTCCATATAATACAGATGAGTTAACTTAGGCACAGAAAATGTTAAATAGTTTGCCCAGAGTTTAAAATTGAAGAACTAGGAGTGCCCGGGTGGCTCAGTCGGTTAAGCCTCTGACTCTTGATTTCGGCTCAGATAGGTCATGATACTGAGCCCCTCATCCTCTCTACAGACATCATGGAGCCTGCTTGGGATTCTCTCTCTCCCTCTCTCTCTTCCTCTCACACACGTGCTCACTCACATATTCTCTCTCAAAATAAGTAAACATTTTTTTTTTTAAATAAAGTTGAAGAACTAGAATTTGAGCGCAGGTTCTTTGAAGACAATGCCTCCCTAACTCTTAACGTAAGCAATACTGTTAGCCCTTTTAGTGCCAGTCAGCCCATAAGGGCATTCGCAAAATACCTATAAAGTCAAGTAAAAGAACATTGACCAGCATTTACTGAATACCTTCTACATGTCAGATTCTGGGAATTTTATGTATTCACGTATCAGATCCTCACAACAACCTTAATAGGTGTTACTATTTTTTACTTTACAGAAGTGGAAATGAGCTCACAGGGATAGGGTAGCTTATATAAAAAATTATAGCTAGCAAATTTCATAGCCAGAATTCATCTTATTCCAGAGCCTATACTTCAAGAATAACATGTAAGGATTTGACAACATATTTTATATATACCTAAATTCAGTTTCTTCCTCCTCTGTGGGGGAATTTCTCATATTGAGGGGTCTAATAGTCTGGGTTTCCCTTGTCTCTGCCCTGCTATTTGTAGACCCACCTACCAGACCAATAACTGTATCCTTGGCTTAGAATATCTTCTCTGGATCCTTGTCTGTTAACCTCAGTTAGACTTGATGACTTGGACATGTTAAGGATTCCCTCCCCTGTGGCCCCTCAGAGCAGAGGTAACCTAGAGATTCAGGGATGAGCTCTAAGAGTCAGTCACCTGAATGTGTATCTCAGCTTTTATCTGCAACTCCATTGGAAGGGGAGAGTCCATTAGCTTGTATCAGATTTGTAAAGATTAAGAACCGCCGCCATCGAGCAGCCACCATGCTTTACAGTGGCAGATTCCCGGCCACTTCAGGGCTCTAAAGGTAAGGCATCGTAGCCAAATGCCTAATGACCTCTGTAGCACAAGGAGAGTTAACTCTCACAGTTTTATTTACAGCCCCTTCATTCTTTTTTTTTTTTTTTTTTTTTTTTAAATTTTTTTTAATGTTTTTTATTTATTTCTAGGAGAGAGAGAGACAGCGTGAGCAGGGGAGGGTCANATGTTTTTTATTTATTTCTAGGAGAGAGAGAGACAGCGTGAGCAGGGGAGGGTCAGAGAGAGAGGGAGTCACAGACTGAAACAGGCTCCAGGCTCCGAGCTGGCAGTCAGCACAGAGCCCGACGCGGGGCTCGAACCCACGAACCTCGAGATCATGACCCGAGCGAAAGTCGGACGCCTAACCGACTAAGCCACCCAGGCGCCCCTACAGCCCCTTCATTCTTTAAGCAAAAGGCTTTACTTACCCAGAGCACAGAAACTGGATGGGCAGGCGTTATGGAAGCTCAAGTGGGAAGTGCCATCCTGACAACCTACCTGAGTTCCTTTTCTAACTTAGAGGTGGTGGTGGGTAGAGAGAAAGGGAGTCATTTGGGGGGCCTGAGGCTCACATTGACGTAGGTAAGGACTCCGCTACGCTAGCCACCTTTGTCTCCCTACACCTCTGGCAAAAAGGAGCTTTGTTAGGACGGATAACCTCACCTAAGTAATAAACTCTGGAACAGAAAAGCAGAAACTGTTTCAAAGAAATGATGAAGTAGGAAGACATCTAAACTTGCCAGGAATAAATACACAAATTCGTGAAGCGGTTTTTTTTTTTTTTTTTAATGTTTTATTTATTTTTGAGAGAGAGACAGAGCATGAGCAGGGGAGGGGCAGAGAGAGGGAGACACAGAACCTGAAGCAGGTTCCAGGCTCTGTCAGCACAGAGCCTGATGCGGGGCTCGAACTCTTGAACCACAAGATCATGACCCAAGCATAACTCGGACACTTAAACGACCGAGCCACCCAGGCACCCCTGTGAAGGGGTTTTAATGAAAGACTAATGAAAACAAAAGCTAAGATGAACAATAATATGGTTTTGATGTTTTAGGCGGGACCAGATGATATCAGGAACTTCGATGCAACATTTACAGAAGAAACAGTTCCGTATTCTGTGTGTGTGTCTTCTGACTACTCTGTAGTGAATGCCAGCGTACTGGAGGCAGATGACGCATTTGTCGGTTTCTCTTACGCACCTCCTTCAGAAGATTTATTTTTGTGAACAGTTTGCCATCCAGAAACCATTGAGCAAATACAAGCCCACAGATGAGACTGAAACTCCTGTTTGTGTGAATATATTCAACTCTGTTTAACTAGTGCCTCATTTTTACATGTAATGTTAAAAACTATGAAAAATGTATTTTCTGCTGTATGCAAGAAAATAGGGCATTTCAAAGAGCTAAGTTTTGGATTAAAATTTGTTATTAAGCTTATTTTTAAAGAGAAATTTTAAAAGCTATTGTTCTCAGCATTAACCTATTTTTAAAGAAAACTTTTTGCTAATGACTGTTTTCCCCCTGAGTTTACCCTAACATCTACCCAAGACTATTTTTCAACAGCCTATTTCAGTTCAGTTAACGTGCATTAATGCCTTTGTAACTCTCTACTTGGACCTTTGTTCTCAGATCAGAACTATGCAATTGGTATGTAGTTAAGAAGAAACCACATCTTTCCATGAGAAGTCATTGGTTGACAAATTCAGTTCTTAGTAGGATTAAAATGTAAAAGCATAGTTAATACATGGGCTGTGAGTTAACACTTTGAAAGAGTGTTTGTTCTGCAGATCAAATTAAGAAATAACAAGGAGATTCTTTGCTTTTGAAATACCAATTCAAATTTGCGAATTATTTTTTTTCTGGAAGAAAAGTAAAGGCTTAATAGTTAGAAAGTTTAAATATTCCCAAAGATCTGAAGGGTAATAAAATACTACTGGATTTTTTTCTTAGGCGGTGCCAAAAATTAATGTCTCTGTGTCATGTATTTATATTACAAATACATTCTATTTATGTTTTTTCTGGTCTTTTGAAGTTATTGTTAAGCAGGCCTAAATCTCAGTATTTGCTTTTGCAGACAGCTGTGCAAAACTGTTTTTCTGATTGGTTAATAAGTGAAAAATATTGAGCTTTCTAGAATTTTTACCTAATTGGGAATTAAAGAATAGAATAGCAAATTCTGGGTCAGTATAAACATATATTTCGCTACAGTGTAACAAGTTAAAAATAATTCCGGCAGATCAATGTCAGTATCTTATTTGTCTTAGAAAAAAACTACAGGAAACTGACCTTAAAATCATACTAAAAACCAACTAACCGTGGACTTGTCACGACTCTTCATCATGAATACAGAAAAACTAAAAAGAATGCTTGTTTTGGAATTCTGCTTCTTAGAATAGAGGTTTTTCAAATCATGTAGGAAACATTGTGAAAGTTTAGAGACCAACTTTAAATGCTTCAGGAGCAAGCATTCTTTCCATGTATTTTCTCTTGAGGAAAAGAAATCACAAAAGCATTTCACACCAATACGCTTTGGCTCGAAAATGTTCAGCAAAATAGGGGGAGGGAGTGTGCTTTTGTCAGATTAATAACATTCGCATCCAATACACTGAATCTTACTTTAGAGGTAAGACTTTTAATAGTGACACTGTAAATATTTGGTTTATTTGCACTACTGTAAGTTCTGCTTTTACACAAAGCTCTTTGCTTATTATAAAGCAAAATAAAAACTGTAGTCTCTTGTATGATTTATTTTTTACTCAGCCACTCCTTAATTAAACTGCCAGAAATTAAAGTGCAATATTGTATATTTTTAAGAACAAATTTAAAAAATTATGTTGATGTTTATTGGATCACAAGAAATACAAATCTTATAGTAATAAATCTAGCAAAAAGATTAATAATCCTCTAATTCCTGTCATTATTTTAAATTAAATTGGTGATGGTTTATAAAAGTCATTACAAAAATGAATTATTTGTCTATGTGAGGGATAAAAGTATAAAACTTTTAAGTATTTGGACACATAAAAATTAGATTATCATAGGCTGACATATTTAATATTCAGGGAACAAAACCTTTCCCAAGTTTCAAGGTTTTTTTTTCTTTCATAGTGTGCTAAGTCTTTTAGAAAAGAAATGTGTGCCCTTTGAATAGTTGAACCATTTCATGGCTATTACCAAAATAAACTCAGAGGTCTAAATGAAGACTCTCTAACATTCTTCATGTTATCTATACCTCTTATTTTATTGCATATGGTACAGTGTAGAGCTTCCCAACCATTGTTACATCATAGCACACACTGAAAATTACAAATTTTTGGCACACCTAACAAGAAGTGCTAAATGATGTAGATACTGGCAACAGGCTCTCTGTTCAAGATTTTTAAATTCCAAGATAATTTCTGAACTGAAGTTATTTACAGAGAGAGCCAACACTGTTTGGATTTAATTTTAGCAATGGTGAACATTTAAAAGGCGGTTTAAATATTTGAAATATACGGTAAAATTTTAAAACCAGTGTCTTTTAGCATACCTGTTAACTAGTAATTATCCAGAGCATAATATTATAAAACTTTACCCAGATATTTTATGAGTCATTCTTTTGTACATCATACACTGTTTGAAAAGTAGGAGTGAGAATTATAGGAGCGTTTTTGGTGTTGCTAGAATGACTTTCAATAAAGTGTTTTGAAATTGATAATTCCTCATTTAGGTAGTTTGGAAGTTAGGTCTGTTTTGAAAGTGGCATTTCCTGCCACTTACCTTTAAAGTCAGTTTTTACTTCTGTGGATTTTTACAAATTATTCCATATTCCAAGGTGATTTGTTCATTTATGTAGAACCCTACTCAGAACCCTGAGTTACAGGGTGACTTGAATACCTTGAAATAGTATGCCAAATAGTTTTGTGTATAAATGAAACTGACTTGGGACAGGAAGTGTTACATGACTTTGTTCTGATGCCCAAAAAGATTCACTGCTGTAAAAAAAAAATTGTGTTTCTTTGTCATTTTAGTTCTACTTTACTTATCTACTATTAAGAGAAATTCCTCTTGGGGCATCTGCAGCCCAGTTGATGGAGCATTCGACTCTGGATTTCAGCTCAGGTCATGATCCCAGGGTTGTGGGATCGAGCCCCACATTGGACTCCACACTGGGTGTGTAGCCTGCTTAAGATTCTCTCTCTCTCTAAAAATAAAGGTAAAATTTAAAAAAAATTTTTATTGAAATAAATTGTTCTCTAACTTCCCTGAAAGCATTCCAATTGGGAATTTTTTATATCTTTAGCATTTTTGGTGTCTTACCAATATTGCATAATCATTCATTTGTAATCCTTTAAACATAGTCCCTAATAGTTAAAAGGACCCCTGTGCAAAAATATTTTACTATTCTCTTATATCATGGCCATTTTTACAGAGGCTATTAAGTCAAAGAAATATAGCTGTCTCAAAATGTACCTTTTAAATAATTTACCCAAAGTCAGGATAGTAGAGAATAGCTTAAAACAACATTACACAAAAAAGCCTATGAGAAGTATAAATTCAAATGCTATTTATAACAGTGAAGTAGCCAAAGAATCCTACAAACCAAAAGTTATTTTTACATGTACTGAAGATGATGAATCACCGCATGAATCTTAATGTAAAATAAAAAATTATATCACTTTACATAACCCTTCTTACTGGAAGGACCAGACTCATTTGGTGATTTTACAGATCTTGTGCTCAAATGTAACATGGAAGTTTTTACTATAAATTCTCTCTTGCAGTAATATATCTCACAGATTTATCATTTTCTTCTACCATATTTTTCAGCATTTTTTATGTTACTAGGAAGCAGAGATTTGCACTTCAATTTTAGGTAAGTTTCTGTGGGAAAATCTACAATGAGTTGTCAATATTTAAGTGTTAACTGTGTTAACTCATGGAATCCAGTAGGTGATAAAACAGATTTACCCATGTAGTCTAATTTGATCTCAGTGTGTTAGACTTTTTCAGTTCTTTCCAGATAGTAGTTCAAATAGCCTTGTTTTGAAATTTTTTCTTATATTTCAATGATAGTAATATAAAAATTACAGCCTACTTTGTTAATGATACATTGATGTTGAACATTAATACTTATTTATCTCAGAAAGATAGCCCTAGCTATAGGCCTCTATTAGATATCAAAAACAAAGCTTTGTATTTGTCAAAACTCATATGACTTTAATACTTAAGAGCTGTGCATTTTGCTCTATGTAACTTATACCTTGGTGAAAAATATTCAAAATAAAAAAGCTATATATGATAAAAAGTATAGATAATCCATAATGCTACCATCTTAAAAGAAGTATTTGAGCCATTTTACCACATTATGAAAGAATTCAGCAATTTACAGCCAAAGAAAAACCAAAGGCAAAGAGGTGAACCCAGCACCACCCGAGCCCTGTAAGCAGGCAGGACCGCACGCGGGGACTACGTTTTCCACTTGCCCCTGTAAGGAGCTTAGAGTCGCCAAGTGAAAAGCGAACAGACTGAAATATCCACGGCTCCGGCTGGATACTGAGGAGAAGCGAGGGCACAGGGCAAACTGCTACCCCCGACTCTGGGGACGTGGGTGAATATAGGGACTTGCAACTTCCTGGAGCAGAGACCATCCCGTCAGGAGCCAGTGCAGGACGGGGCCAGCCTGAACCAGAGGAACACATGGCCGGAGGCGAAGTGTAGACCACTGAGCGTTCACAAGTCCGGTCATAGGGAGCCCCACAGTTTTGTGAAATTGGCCACCTAGCTTCTCACAGTAAATATTGGGGGGAATTCTCTTGTACTTCCAGCAGGAGGAAGAGAAAAGGGACAATTTTCTCTCTCTCTCTTTTTTTTTTTTGAAAGAGTGCAAGCAAGGGAAGGGCAAAGTGAGGGGGACAGAGGATCTAAAGCCGGCTCTGCTGACAGCAGTGAGCCCGATGTGGGGCTTGACCTCAGCAACTGTGAGATCATAACCTGAGCTGAAGTTGAATGCCCAACCCACTGAGCCACCCAGGTGCCCCAAGGACAATTTTCAAATATGCCAGCACACTCGGATCTTAACATTCTGGTCTTCTCCTGACCACAGGAAAAACTAGTCCATCAGAATGTGACCTATAGGGACTTTCTTGCCGAGTCTAACAAAAGTCAGTCGGTTAAGTGTCCAACTCTTGATTTCGGCTCAGGTCATGATCTCACGATTTGTGGGATCAAGCCCCAAGTCAGGTTGTGTGTTGACAGTGCAGAGCCTGCTTGTGATTCTCTCTCCTTTTCTCTCTGCCCTTCCCTCCCCCCAAATAAGTAAATAAACAAACATGGGGGGGGGGAGAATTACACCTGACTTCTCCTCAGAAATCATGCAAGAAGAATGGAGTGAAATATTGAAAGTGCTGAGAGAGGGGCACCGGCCAGGCTCAGTCAGTAGAGCATGCAACTTGTGATCTGTGGGTTGTGAGTTTGAGCCCCACACTGGGTGTAGATATTACTTTAAAAAATGAAATATTTTAGGGCCACCTGGGTGTGTTGGTTAGGTGTCCAACTCTTTGATTTCAGCTCAGGTCATGATCTCACGGTTCATGGGATTGAGCCCTGCATTGGGCTCTGTGCTGACAGCACTGAGCCTACTTCGGATTCTGTGTCTCCCTCTCTCTCTGCCCCTCCCCTTCTCATTCTTTCTCTCTCAAAAATAAATAAACTTTTAAAAAATATTTTTTTAAAAAAGATTGGGGTGCCTGGGTGGCTTAGTTGGCTGAGCCTCCAACTTCAGCTCAGGTTGTGATCTCATGGTTCATGTGTTTGAGACCCACATCGGGCTTGCTGCTGTCAGAACCGGTTTTGGATCCTCTTCCCCCTTTCTCTCTGTCCCTCCTCTGCTTGCACATTCTCTCTAAGAAAGAAGCATTTTAAATTTTTTTTAAAAGTTTAAGTGCTAAGAGAAAAAAACAATTTTACCAACCTAGAATTCTGTACCCTGGAAAATGATCCTTCAAAAGTGAAGGAAAAATGAAGACTTTCTTAGACAAAACTTGAGGTAATTTGTTTCCCATAGATCTCTTTGCAAGGAATGTTGAAAGAAGTTCTTTAGAGAAAAAGAAAATAACCTAGGTCAGAAACTCAGATCTACATAAAGAAAAAAATAGCATCAGGGCACCTGGGTGGCTCAATCACTTGAGCATCTGACTCTGGTTCAGGTCATATCTCCTGGTTCTTGAGTTTAAGTCCCACACTGGGCTCGCTGCTGTCAGCACAGAGCCCACTTCAGATCCTCTGTCCCTTGTTCTCTGCCCCTCCCCTCCTGCACTCTCTCAAAAGTAAATAAAACATTTTAAAAATAAAGGAATAGCCTCAAGGAAAGAATAAAAAGGTAAAATAAAACTTTTATTCTTTTTTTAAATGTTTATTTTTGAGAGAGAAACACAGAGCACGAGCAAAGGAGGCGCAGAGAGAGAGAGGGAGACACAGAATCCAAAGGTGGCTCCAGGCTGTAAACTGTCAGCACATAGCCCCACTTGGGGCTGGAACCCATGAACCATGAGATCATGACCTGAGCAAAAGTTGGAAGCCCAACCAACTGAGCCAGCCAGGGTCCCTATTCTTATTCCTAATTAATCTAATGGATAAAAGTTTGTTCAAAATAATAGCAACAATGTATTTGATAATGTATGCATAGGGGTATATCATATACATATGTTTACTTAATGCTTTTAGACACGTAAAATGAATGATATCAATACA